CTGAGGTCAGGGGTTCAAGACCAGCCTGGCCAACATGGCAAAACCCCATCTCTACTAAAAATACAAAAATTAGCCAGGCATGGTGGTGGGCACCTGTAATTCCCACTACTTGGGAAGCTGAGGCAGGAGGATCACTTGAACCCAGGAGGCGGAGGTTGCAGTGAGCCAAGATCACACCATTGCACCCTGGGCAACAAGAGCAAAACTCCATCTCAAAAAAAAAAAAAAGAATGTTTCCATTCCCTTTGCATATTCTGGGGGAATTTCCAGACCAGGTAAGTGGTAAAGAACCAATCACAGCTTAGTAAATAGGAATCCTACTGGGTATCAGCTCTGAACAAAGTACCGGGAAGAATGTTGAATCCCTACAGATTTTTGCAACACAGGAAGTCAGGTGGAGGCCAACCTGCCTCCACCTACTCTAAGAGGTCTGTTGATCACTTGAATATTACACTAATAATTTATTGATGTGACTTTCTTTTGCAAGAGATTGTATCTCAAACCAAAAGGCGGTTCTTGTAGGTTAGTACTTTCCAGTTTACATATTGTTTTGTTAGTAAACCCAGCATTTGTTCAAGGATATTTGAAATAGCCAAGGGTTTTTGTAAGTGTTGTGCAGCAAACTAATCCTAACAGCCCCTCCTCTGCCCTTCCACTCCATCACCCCAACAGGAGTCAGTGAATATTACAGATTTTTGTAGTATGGAAGTCTTGTAGAATTCTAGGCATAGCCTGGTGGCAGGATTGACAAAATCATTTACATTCTTAGAATAATCCAAATGTTGACTCAACCCATTTACCTAAGGTATTCCAAGCACTGGGAGAGGAGAAAGAGGAACCCATGCTAAGATTTGTCCTAATATTGAATCCCCTGAAGATGGCTGTCATTCAAAGTATTCCTGGGTTCAGGTATTTTTAAAGAATTCATGGCTGGGCACTGTTGCTAACACTTGTAATCCCAGCACTTTGGGAGGCCGAAGTAAGAGGATTGCTTGAGCTCAGGAGTTTGAGACCAGCCTGGTCAACATAGCAAGACTCTGTCTCTACAAAAATAAAAATTAAAAAAGAATCCTTGCTTGTCCTAGAGTGTTTTGCTTCTTGGAATAGTAAGAGGATTGGGGGAAAACAGATATATCATATCTGCCCTCTATTTAGTGCTTCAATTTTAGTACAAATAATTTCTAAATTATGCCATGGTTATTGGTGCAGAGATAGACACATAGACCAGTGGAAAAAAATACAGAGTCCAGAAATAGACCCACACATATGCAGTGGGTCTTGTAGATTTCCACAAAGGCATTATTATGATTCATTGGGAAAAAGAAGGTCTTTTCAACAAATGGTGCTGAAGTAATTGGATGTCCTTTTAGGGGAGGAAAAATGAACCTTGACCTCTGCCTCATAGCACACACAAAAATTAATTCAAGATGGAGCAAAAACTTAAATGTGAAAGGTAAAACCATAAAGCTTGTAGAAAAAAACAGGAGATCTTCATAGCCTTGGGCTAGGCAAAAATTTTCTTAAACAGGACACAGAAAGCACTAACCATAGAAAAGAAAACTTGATAAATTGGACTATACTAAAACTAAGAACATCTGTTTTTAAATCCCATGGGAAAAATCCACAGCATGTCTTCAAGATCTCTGGCAGAAAATCAGTCTGGAACCCGTCCGTTAGCCCTCTAGAATCTGCCCCCTGCCCAAGACTGATGACCCTGCTACCTGTACTGGCAATAGGGAGATGAACACGGTTCAAGTAAGTAGGTTTTGGCAGGGCTGAGGCCCTCAGATCCTCACAATAAAATTGTCTTGCATTCCTTGTGTGATTTGGATCTGTGAGAAGCAGCTTTGTTCCCGAGCTCCCCCCAGATCTCTGAACACTGGTATGTTCTTCTCAGAACAATCCTTTGAGATCCCCTGAGCTTTGAAGTCCTCCTGCCAAGTCTGTGTGTGGGAAGGAGAACAGAGCAGCGTGAGGGCCGTTCGAGAGGTGGGCGAAGGCAGTTCAAAGCACAGCCAGATCCGGCTCTGTGGTGTCCAAGCCCTTGGGGTCCCAGAGCCCTAGAGGAAGCCTGGGATAGGGTGAGGCCCAGTCCTTTGCAGGGTGCTGTATTGCTGCATCCAGACTAGGAAATGTCTGAGACAGAGCCAGAAACATAAATACTGCACCACTGTGCTCACCACATTCATGTTAGCAGCAGAAGAGCCAAGCCCCCTGGCCAGGATATATGCTTCCTATTCAGACCTATGGTTTGGAGGGAAGGAAGCACGAAATGTATTTAGAGCTTTCCAAACTTTGATTGTTTGGCACATTCCTACAAAGGGAAAAAATAAAAATATCCCATGAGATTAAAAAAAAAATCAGCTTCTAATGCTTTAGATGAGTGGGAAAATCTTGCACACTGGGGTCATTTCCTTTCTGTTTCAAGAAATTAATATTGTGCTGGAAATAGCCTGTTGCAAAAGGAGAGACTTCATGTCCTTTGAATGCTGATTATGCCAGAAAACTTTCCAGCCCTAAAGGGGAGGTTGTCCCTTTCCCAGGACTCTGATGCAAGATGACCCTGCAGTTTGCTATTTTGCTAGGATAGGAGACCCAAGTCAACAGAGATTTAAAATTCGGAAGGGGTCATTAATTTATTCATTCAAGAAACCATGCTGAGCATGGAATAGGGGCCAGGTTCGGTTCTGGAGTCTCACACTGCCCCACATGAGGAACCCAGGCTGCCAGCTCCGTGACCGTCCTCTGCAGACAGTCCCGAGTCTTTCTGAAGCCCCCTGGTGGCTGAACCCTGGCATTTAGAATTAGCAGAAGTGACATACTAATTACCAGTAAATAAAAAGTAGGTGTGCACCTCTCTCCTGCAGATGCCGGGAAACCAGGCCATCAGCGGACAGGCGCAGTCAGCAGCACCCGCTCTCTCGGTATCTGTTAGCTTCCACGGTGTTGTGTTTCAGAGCCGAGCCAGAAATCGCCCAGGGGGGTTACTTGCATCAGCTCCGGAAAATGTGTAAAGGATTGAAGTCCTGAGGCTTTCCCATAATGTCTTATTTAGGCATCAGTCTCCCTCAGTTGATTAGAGCAGGAATCAGCAAATTTCTTAATAAAAGGCCAGTGACAGTGAATACTTTTAGGCCATGCAGTCTCAGCCACAACTGCTCTGGCAGCCAGAGACAGCAGGAAACAAATAAGTGTGGCTGTGTTCCAACAGAACTTTATTTTATGGACATTTCCTTACAATTTTCACACTTTGTGAAATATCCATCTTTTAATTTTTTTTTCAACCATTTAAAAATGCAGGCCGGGCACAGTGGCTCAGGCCTGTAATCCCAACGCTTTGGGAGGCCGAGACGGGAGGATCGCTTGAGTTCAGGGGTTCAAGACCAGCCTGGCCAACATGGCAAAACTCTTTCTACTGAAAATACAAAAATTAGCTGGGCATGCACATGTAGTCCCAGCTACTTGGGAGGCTGAGGCATGGGAATCGCTTGAGCTTGAACCCAGGAGGTGGAGATTGCCGTGAGCCAAGATCATGCCACTGTACTCCAGCCTGAGCAACAGACTGAGATCCTGTCTCAAAAAAATAAAATTTTTCTTAATTAAAAAAAATAAAAATGCAAACACCATTCTTAGCTCACAGGCCATGCAAAAACAAATGGCAGGCCAGATTTGGCCCGCAGGCCATAGTTAGCTAACCTAGGACCAGAGAGTCCCACCACTTTCACAGCAAAAAGGATGCACATGGTTTGTGTTGACTCTGAGTAGGGACCTTCTCCAAAGGGTGCCATGATACAGAAGGTGGTAGGTGTGTTCCCTAATTGTGGGAATGGAAGAGCATCACTCTGGCGTCTCTCAGTGGTCCCATACCTGCTGACTCTATTTAGGCGGTGGCTTGAGGGTGCCCCCCACTTGCCAATGCCTCCTGCTAGGGACCTGCACACTGAGAACCCTGGGAAAGGGCCCTCTCCTTGGGGACCCTGGTCACACCCAGTAGATCAGTCACTCGTCTTCCTTCTTACCAGCTGCCTCACCTGACCCCACTGGGAGAAGGACCCTTGTACCACCTTCCTCGACACCCGGGCCTCTTCTGTTCCAAGGTGCCTTCCGGCAAGGCATGGTGGCTCACACCTATAATCCCAGCATTTGGGGAGGCTGAGGCAGGAGAATTACTTGAAGCCAGGAATTCAGGACCAGCCTGAGCAACATAGCAAGACCCTGTCTCTACAAAAGAAAATTAAAAATGAACTGGCATGGTAGTGCATGCGTATAGTCCCAGCTACTCGGGAGGTTGAGGTGGGAGGATCGTTGGAGACCAGGAGTTTGAGGCTGCAGTGAACTGTGAACAAGCCACTGCACTCCAGCCTGGGTGGAAGAACGAGATTTTGTGGCAAAAAATAATAATAATAAAATTAAATTAAAAATAAAGGTGTCCCTTACAATCCCCTAAGGCACACAGCACTCCTTTTCTTCCCTGTCTCATCACCCATTTCAACCTTAGATCCTGAGCTTCTTGAGGCAGAGGCTTCCATCTTGTCTGGGTGCTCAGCACATTTTCAAATATTCTCTTAGGTGTTTTTCTCCATTACCCACGGAGCGGTTGCTTGTTGCCTTTCCAACCAAAATAGAAATAGCAGTAAACAAAAGAAGAAAAACACTGAACATTTTGGAACTAAAATTTTATTATTACTGGAAAAGTCCCAGATAATAAAAAAACAGCTGGTAAATTAGCACTCATTTAAGCATGGTCTGGGGAAGAAGAAAATTTTCATAACAAATTTTTCTTCCTAATTGTTTTTGTTTGTTTAGATTTATGCATTCCCAAAGTGGACCTTAAAATCATGCTGGTGGCAGGAGGAAGCCAGTGTACTCTTTGAAATTTGCTTCAGATAATCCACCAAGGGGACGGCTTCATAAACACAATTATTATTTTCTCCCTAAGATGCTGACTCATGTGAAGGGCTATTTAAAAGATGACTTTGGCTTTGTGCCCTCTCCTGCAGGTCCTTCCATAGTGACGCCCCCCAAGGACATCTGGAATGTCACTGGTGCCCAGGTGTACTTGAGCTGTGAGGTCATCGGAATCCCGACACCTGTCCTCATCTGGAACAAGGTCAGTGGCACAGACTTCAAGAAGACGTCCTAAGCTGACAAGCTTCTCTTGCACTGCACAATGATGGTAAAACGTTAAAGCCTTAGCATGCTTTGTTGACTGCAGATGCTCCAAGGTGAAACCTTAGGGCAGTCATACAGGCACCTCCTCTGGATTCATGGGACAAAAACCAGTCCCTGCCATGCTTTAATTAGCAGCATCCTAGAAACTGAGAAACTGGAAGAACAATAATGCTGAACACCTGAACCCACCTTCGGGGTGTGTGTGCACCTGTGGTGTGTGTATGTGTGTGCATATGTGGGTGTGAGTGAAGTGTGTGTGTCTGTGTGTGCACCCTCAGTGGAGACAATATAGCATAGGGGTTAAAAGTGTATGTTTCTCTCTTTCTGTCCCAAAATACCACCTCCAAGCCCCCACCAAGCTGTTTGTGATGTCATCAGTCTCCTCATTTAAGACTGAACATTTAGCTGATACTTTAGATCCTGTCTGCTTGGAGGCATTATTATTATTTTACTGGGAGGCTCGGCTAAGAAGGTAAAAGGACATAAAGCCCTGTAGCCTTCTCCTGTGAGCATGGATTATTTTTTTCAGATTCCCTAAGTGCGGGAGATGGATGAGTACATTTTAAGAGCACTTGGAAGCAGGGTAGAAGGAGTGAGGTGGGATCTATTCTTCTAAGTACCAAGGCTGTAGAACCACAAGTTACGGACAAAGGAGACCACTCCAGAACAGAGCATTAAAAAGGAACAAGAGGAGGAATAGCAAAGAAAAAAATTTCTCCTTTCCGAATTTTGCTAAATGCTGGCCCCAAGTGGAAGAAGCATGATATTCTTTTAATAAATCAGTTTTGAAATGACTTCCCAAATGGAAAAAAAGAAAAAAAAAAGTGTGAGGCTGAGTGCAGTAGCACATGCCTGTAATCCCAGCACTTTGGGAGGCTGAAGCAGGAGGATCACTCGAGTCCCGGAGTTTGAGACCAGCCTGACCAACACAGTGAGACTTCGTTCTTACAAATAATTTTTTTTAATTAGCTGGGCATGGTGAGGCATGCCTGTGGTCCCAGCTACTCAGGACACTATGGTGGAAAAACCCGTTGCGCCAGGAGATCGAGGCTGCAGTGAGCTGTGATTGCCCCACTACACTCTAGCCTGTCTCAAAAGAAACGAAAGAAAAGGAAAAGAAAAAGGAAAGAGTGTGAATTCCTTAGCCAGGTTGGCTAGGTTCTCTGCAAGCCAGGGTTTCTCAGCCTCAGCACTATTGACATTTGGGGCCGGATAATTCTTTGTTGTGAGGGCTGCCCGTGCTTTGGAAGATGTTTAGCAGCACCCCCACCTCTAACCACTATATAATGGTAGCATCTCCCATCCCCCTGTCGTGAGAATTAAAAGCATCTTCAGACATTGCCACACGTCCCCTAAGGGTGTGGGGCTGGGGAATTGCCCTGTACTGAAAACCACTGCTGTTAGCCTCAGCTCCCTTCTCTACATTATTAAAGTGGCATGTAATTATCATAAAGATTAAATAAAGTAATGCAGGTAAAAATCACTTGATACATAGTTAGCACTCAGTAGACATTAGCTACTGTTCCTGGAAATTTTTCCCTTCGAGTGGCATTGTCTTGTATAATTATCTTCATATTTGAAGAACAACATCTTCTCAGCATGTATGGTATGGAGGAGGGAAAAGAAAACACTTACTTGCCATTAACTAATACTTCACAATTATACCATACACTTAGGTTTTTGTCTTTTTTTTTTTTTTTTTTTTTTTTTGAGATGGAGTTTCACTCTTGTTGCCTGGGCTGGAGTGCAATGGCATGATCTCGGCTCACTGCAACCTCCACCTTCCGGGTTCAAGTGATTCTCCTGCCTCAGCCTCCCAAGTAGTTGGGATTACAGGAGCCCGCCACCATGCCTAACTTTGTATTTTTAGTACAGACAGGGTTTCTCCATGTTGGTCAGGCTGGTCTCAAACTCCCGACTTCAGGTAATCCGCCTGCCTCGGCCTCCCAAAGTGCTAGGATTACAGGCGTGAGCCACCACACCTAGTCGTTTTTGTCCTTTTTATACATTTTGAATTGCTTAGCCTCACAACTGTCCTACGAAGAATTAAAAAAAAATTATCAAACTCATGCTACCAAAAAAGAAACTTCGTTTAAGTAAAAGGGCATAACCAGACATCCCTTTTTAGCTACCCTACTTCTCCAGCAAGCTCTAAGGTGGATGATGGTCTCCCTTGACTATTTCGTTTGCTCATTGTGTGACCGGAGGAGCAACTTCTAGAACTCCAGGAGGACTGTGGCTCCCGCAGTCGGAGCTCTTTCTGTTGCAAGTTCTACTAGCCCATCTGAAACTAACCTAGGCAAAACAAAAAACGGGAGCGGGGTCCAGCCTCAAGGGCCCCTGCATCCGGGTACACACGCCATGAGAACTCTAACTCTTGACTCTTTGCTCTCAATATACTAGTCTCATTTTCTTCTGCTTCAGAAAGCTTCCTGTGCAGTGGGAGATGTCAACTCCACTCACATTTTTATCACAGCTTAAAGACCCCAGAGGAAAGAAAGGGTTTCCCTTCTCCCTGCTGCGTTGTGAAAATCCCACTGAAGGGCTCAAGCCCAGGTCGGGTCACCTGCTAACCTCTGGCTCCCCCGTGCGGCCAGAGGGATGCGGCCACTGACATTGGCACCAGCGTGAATCCCCCTGGTTTGTGTAAAATCTGGCAACAGATACCAGAAAATGCCTGAGGTGGGGGTGATGGCAGAGTCAACACTACTATACCATCCTTTACAGTGAAGCTTCTCTTAAAGGAGCAATAAAAATTTCACCCCAATCAATTATGTTTTTAAGAGGAAGGCAGAGCAAGAGCAATTAAGAGCAGAAATGCAGTCCGTGGATGATTTCCCCTCCATCCTTACTGCAAGAACTGCAGGCGTTCCCCACTGCTAATTTGGAGATTGCTGGTTTGCTCAGGGTGTGGGGAGGTGGAGAAATAATGTTCCAAGGAATACTCGTGAAAAATTCCATTTCAGTTCTCTACAGTTTCCTAGGGATACTTACACAATGAGAAGCGAGGGTCACCCAAGTGTCCTGGGGCATGTGACCTTATTGGCAAATCTTGGCAAAAAATAATTTCTTCAGTCCTTGCTCTACCCAATCCCAGCTAAAGTATTCACATACCAGAGGAATACGTTTGCCTCGGGAATCTTTTCCCTTTTAGGACTGTACAGGGCAGATCCCAATAGGCCTCACTGAGGGCTTGTCCTCAGGGCTATTCAAAAACACCACAGCAGTTGAGGCCCGTGTGGTGGCTCACACCTGTAGTCCCTAGCTACTTGGGAGGCTGAGGTGGGAAGATCGCTTGAGCCCAGTAGGTGGGGCTGCAGTGAGCTATGATGGCACCACTGCGCTCCAACCTGGGTGACAGAGCAAGATCCCGTAACAAAACCCACTATGTCAGTCAATGAGATGGGTGCTGAAGAAAAGAAGTGAAGAGGAAGTAGGAGAGGAACAATTTTTTCTGCAGACTTTCCAGAACAAGCAAAACCCAACTATGATGCTCTGCCAGTTGTCCTCTACCTTCATAATGTAATTTGCCACATGCATGACCCAAAGCAGTGTTTCTTACACTGCAGACTGTGACTCATCAGCGAGTCCTGGAACTAACGTAGCGATCACAACCAGCATGTTCTTATAAAAAATAAAAAATAGAACAGAACCTATGTTAAGGCATCACACTTACCACTTAAAAAGGTGTCATTTCCTGAAACTTTTGTATATTCCAGATTACAATGTAAAATGTATTTCTTAGTTTGGGCCATGTCAAAACTAAGGAAACTTGGGAAGTCACTGTCCTAAATAATTAAACAGGGTATTTGTTTTCTCATCGCTGTCCTTGTAACCAGACTGTTAAGAATACAGACATATTTACTAGCACATGTGTTTCAAATCCAATTTAAGAGTAGAACACCTTTTTGGATAGAATATTAGAATCCACGCTTGTTAAACAAGAGAAACTGAGGCTTAAATAAAGACAGCATGTCTTTCTAGTTCAAGGATTCTTAGCAACAGCAGAATTAATGGCACAAGCCTTCTCTCCATGACACTTGAGACTGCAGTGGCAATTCTTACGGTTGGCACAGCCTGGTGAGTGGTCTTTACTTTCCTTACTGGCAGTTATTATCCTGCTGGCTTTAACAAGCCTTTCAGCAAACCCCTAGCCTAGAAAGATTCGAAGGGCAATATTTTGAAATGGGAACATGAACTGAAATAGCCATGTTTGACTTAACCCTTTTAAATCAGAGATGATGCTCACAGCGAAAGCAAAACACCTTCCCAATACTTGTCTCTGAGACCGAGAGACTCTCTATTTAATTCTTTTCTTGCCTGAATATTTCTTCAGATTAGGGCTTCCATGAACTCTAAGAATATTTTTAATCAAAAATAGTGACCTCTAAGGTAATGGTAATAAGCGGAAATTATCCAAAGACGTATAAAGAAAGAGTTGATAATGTCCCCCCACCACCTCCTCCTCCTGCCTGAGATAACCAATGTGAACTGCCATGGTTTGTATCTTTCCACATTCTTTTTCATATCCAAGCTTATTCAAACATATATCCCTACGGTGAAATGAGAATATAGTGTGCCAATAAACTATTCTGAAACTCGCTTTTCTCAACAAATACTTCATGGACATCCGTCCAAGTCTGCTTCTCAACAGCTACGTAATATTCCAAGTATGAATACCATAATGTATTAAATCAGTTCTGTATTTTTTCTGTTGTTTCCAAATTTTTGTCAACTTAAACAATCCTACTTTAAGCATCAAAGTACACATATCATACGGTGCTTTTATTGCTATAAGATAGATTCCCAACAGTTACCTGAATAAGTCAAAATATTTGTTTTAGTATTAATAGACATTGTCCGATTACTTTTTAAATAGACTGTACTAATTCACACTCCCACCAGCAATGGAGAAGTGCCATTTCTCTGCATCTTTACAAGCACTGAATATTAACCTCTCTTTTTTAGTTTTAGTTCCTATTTTAACGAGAAAACACATATTTATTGGCCGGGCACAGTGGCTTATGCCTGTCATCCCAGCACTTTGGGAGGCCAAAGCGAGTGGATCACTTAAGGTCAGGAGTTTGAGACCACCCTGGCCAACATGGCAAAACCCTGTCTCTACTAAAACTACAAAAATTAGCCAGGCGTGGTGGCATGTGCCTGTAATCCCAGCTACTCAGGAGGCTGAGGCAGGAGAATCACTGGAATCCAGGAGGCAGAGGTAGAGGTTGCAGTGAGCCAAGATCACACCAACTGCACTCCAGCCTGGGTGACAGAGCGAGACTCTGTCTCAAAAAAAAAAAAAAAAAAAAACAGAAAACACATGCTTATCAACACTTAGAATCCCTTTACATGAATAAGGGAGAGCTTGACATATAAAAATGTTTCATATGAAAATTCTTGGCAGTTTTTTCTATGTTTTCTACATGATGTATAACCTTTTATAATTATGTAACATTAATTAAAATACACCATGCCAACACCTGTGAAAAGAAGGGAAAAACAAAGTATATATATACAGTGATTTCTGTTAAATATTATATTTAACAAGATACATTTCCCTTTCCATTGTGGATCAAGTTAATTAACATAAAATGCTCTTTACCAAGAGCTATGGGATTTGAGGCTCAGTTGCTGAGATTCAGTATTTCAGTGCTGCAGTGTTTCTTATTTTCTTGCTTTGGTCACACATAAAACTCTTATATGATTCTGAAATTCAGTGAATAAAGGTCAGAGACATATTACTTTAGACATTGAATCAAATTAATACTTCTACCAAAATATTCTTAAAACCCATTTTTTTTTTTTTTTTTTTTTTTTTTTTTTTTTTTGCTTTTTAGTTTTTTTTTTTTTTTTTTTTTTTTTTTTTTTTTTTGTTTTTTTTTTTTTCTCCAAGTGATATTCCTTAAAACCCATTTTTAAGTAACTATTGCAAAAGCTGTATTAGCATAAACCATTTCTTCCAGCTACTTGGGAAACTAAGGGGAAAGGTACCTATTGAGTACATGTTTGTCTTCACAGCATTAGTAGCAATGTGGGAAAATTCCAGAAAAAAAATGCAAAAAGCCAGGCTTTCCAAATCAGTCAATCAAGGTATTTTTTCAAGAGCAGGAGTTGGCCTAGATCACATGTGGTTTGCTGAGTCCCGGTCCTGGCATCATAAAGCTGAGAAAATACAGTGTAGGTTTGAAGCCGAGACAACAGCAGAGTAACAAAAAACACATGGTAGGAGTGGGATCCACATGGGAAAAGCAACACTGAGATGGAAGTTAACAAAGTGTATATATAGATTTACTTATATATGTATTTATTGTATTTACACATACAGTGTGTCTATATATACACACTATTATCTGGTCTTTATTAAGATTTGCTTTATTATAGAAGAAAATGAAATTACCTGAGGTTGTAAATCCTTTCTAATTACAAAGGTAGTATCAATAAATGTCAAGTATCAATAAATGTCAGCCTCTTAAAGGAGGTCTGGGATGGAATGAACAAACAATTCATATATCCTTTTTTTTTTTTTAACTCACCATTATCACAAGGCTTAAAATATTTGTACTCTGTAACTCAGCTGCTAAATGTATATATATCGAGGAGCTACAAGTGAATTTCATTCTTTTGTATATTTTCCAGAGTTTATACAATAAACATTTTGCCTTTTAAAATGAGAGCAAAAAGGATACATTAGTATTGGCCTTGAATCAAAGAAATTTCTTCTGAATCTCAACATGACATACACAGAAACAGTCAACAAGTTTTGTCATAAAAGAACAATGACAGCACATGTATTTGACAGCTGTTTTTCTTTTTTTTTTTCTTTTTTTGAGATGGAGTCTCACTCTGTTGCCCAGGCTGGAGTGCAGTGGGGCTATCTCGGCTCACTGCAACCTCCGCCTCCCAGGTTCAAGCAATTCTCCCACCTTAGCCTCCTGAGTAGCTGGGACTACAGGCGCTCGCCAACACACTAGGCTGATTTTTGTGTTTTGTAGAGACAGGGTTTCGTCATGTTGGTCAGTCTGGTCTCGAACTCCTTTGATAGGTGTTTTTTATCTTAGGTGTTCAGTAAATCATTTGAGTAATTCTTAGCCCTCAGAACAAAGTAATGGTATTGGCTTTGGTCTCAGCCTACTATTGTTCATTGATGAAGCTGTTGCAGGAAGAGCCCCAAGGTCCCAAGCATCACACCTAGTACTGGGTGACAGTTCATCAGTCGAACATGGCATGACAGGGAAAAGGCCTGGCACCGAGAAGCAGAATTTCCAAGAGTATGAGTGAATGAATGATGGTGGCCAGTGGAAGGAAATTATGAACATGTGTATTCCCCAAGCATGCAGAAAAACACATTAGTTTAAAACACGTAAGCTTAGCAGAAAACTGGCAGGAAGAAATAAAAGGATCTCTATTTTAAAAGTAGTAAAGGGAAATAGTTGAGAAAAATGCTGGGTTTTCTCTATTAGAAATTCTGACATACACCATGTGAAATTGTAGGGATGTGGCCACTTCCAAGTAGATGATCTGGTGTACAAAACTCAGTATTACTCTCTCCTTTTGTTTTTGCAGGTAAAAAGGGGTCACTATGGAGTTCAAAGGACAGAACTCCTACCTGGTGACCGGGACAACCTGGCCATTCAGACCCGGGGTGGCCCAGAAAAGCATGAAGTAACTGGCTGGGTGCTGGTGAGTACCAGAACCAAGAGCTGGCAAGAGTTTCATTCTTAGCATTAGACATAAGCGGACCTGGCAAAGGTGCCTGATGTACTGCCAGCCTGAAGGTGCTTGCTCTTCCACATCTCTTTGGAATAGCTTTACCGTGGAGTCGCTGCTTCTCTTTCAGAGAAACTAAAGGAAAAGTGCTTTATTTGCATGTTTTGAAAACAACCAATGAATTAACAAGAACTACTATTTTCCTAAGAGTTCAAAGCAAAATCCTTACACAGAGCTGCATGGTCCAAGCATCGTTTTAACTCATTATTGATTAACAAATACCTTATTTTACTTGACCCTTGATATTCATGGAGAATACTTTGATCATATACCCTTATCAAGGTTGCCCTCAAACCGATAATGTGTACCTATCTAGTTTTTAACCTGTGCAGTATGATCAAAAGTTGTCCATTACATTTCCTGAGATGACTCCTCAGCAAACCAAATGTAGTAGCTATCGAAGTCTCCTAGCACAGGACTTGCACTACTTCTGGCAGCACCTTTGCTATGAATCCCCTGGTCATCTTAGGAAACTTATGATATAATGACCTCATTGGAACCACTGACAAAAGAGAAGACCACCACAGAGGAATACTAGATCCTTTTTCTTTCACAGGTATCTCCTCTAAGTAAGGACGATGCTGGAGAATATGAGTGCCATGCATCCAATTCCCAAGGACAGGCTTCAGCATCGGCAAAAATTACAGTGGTTGATGCCTTACATGAAATACCAGTGAAAAAAGGTACAAAATAAATCTCACAGCCATTTAAAAATGACTAGTACATTTGCTTAAAAAAGAACAGAACTAATTATGAAAGTATCAGACATAGCTATTAATGAAATTCTGTAGTTAGGAATCCATAAGGGCATTAAGTATGCCATTAAAATGTAGAGCACGAGACTCCAAAAGATTATCTGGATGGGTGACTCAACGTCGTTATTATGACTTAGATGCTTTTACCTTATCTAACATGTAAGAGTCAAAACTCAAACTTGCCTGGAATGGCTTCTATTTCCCATAGCTTTCTACCTATCTACTTGGCATTTTCCCTTTGTGTCGTGACTATTATATTAAATTCCCATTTAAAAGAAAACGATTGTGGGCAATTCTCACCCTTCACTTTTGCTTTTAAAAGAAAAAGCCAGAAAGAGAGTATACTGGCAAATGCCCACTTCTGTTCTGTCTCCCCTTCCTTCACTGCCAAAAAACTTCCTCTGAAGAACCCATCCTGAGTGTCATAGCAGTGCTACTTTACATTTATATAGTTCTATGAAACTGATGTCTGAATTGGCTTTCCCTTAGACAAAAGAACAAAATTTACCATCAGCATGTCAAACCATTCCACTGTGCAGATCACTCAGCTGTGATATGAAAATAAAGTAAAGAAGTATGTGGTCAGATTCTCTTCAGCCATAATGTGTAATGCCAGGCAATGAAACAGAGCAGTAGCTAAGAGTCAAGCCATGCGTTAGAGTCTCAGCTCTGCTACTAATTTTTCCTCCACTTTACCTTTTGAAGATCTGGACTACAAAGGAAAGGTCTTTAACCTCTCTGAATCTCATTTGTGAAATGTGCTCTTCCCGTTCTATAGTAAGATGTACCTTTGATGCATCAACCAATACAGCAAAATTGCCTTTCATGGCTAAAATCATGTAACTCGAGTTCCACAGAGCACTCCAGCATATTATTTATACAATTACTCATATATCCTTTATCCCCACATTTTAACATCTTCATTTATTTGGAAACACTCAACTACCTGACAGTTCAAAAGTCAACCACATCCCTATATGTAACTAATTTTTATCTTTTTCTTTTTTTTAAACAGGTGAAGGTGCTGAGCTATAAACCTCCAGAATACATTAGTCTGCATGGTTAAAAGTAGTCATGGATAACTACATTACCTGTTCTTGCCTAATAAGTTTCTTTTAATCCAATCCACTAACACTTTAGTTATATTCACTGGTTTTATACAGAGAAATACAAAATAAAGATCACACATCGAGACTATCTACAAAACTTTATTATATATTTACAGAAGAAAAGCATGCATATCATTAAACAAATAAACTACTTTTTTATCACAACACAGTACATTATTTATCATTTTTTAAAAGCCACACAACAGAAACAAGACACCAAGATATTTTTATCTTGTTGAGTCTTCTAAAATAGCTAAACACTCATCATTCGCGGTGCAATACTCATAGACATAAGTTCCTGAAACAATAGTTTGCATGCATAAGGCATTCGCACCAAAGAAATCTGAAAAGAAAAAACAAATAGTAATTAGCAGAATTGTACTGAAGTGACTCCACTTCTCTACCCCAGAAAAAGGCAAAGATCTGGTACTGCAGATAACGAATAAATGAGCGGAGCTGAGAACACGCACTCTGCTACCTCAGCTTATGGTGGTTCTTTCTCCTAGCAGGCTTTGGTATTTTACCCTTTCTGCCAGACATAATTTATATTCACCCACCTCAACTAAAAGGTTTTTAAAAACTCATTGTTTAAAATCCCTTGTACAAAGTCTTATTATTTCCAAAAGATGAATAGCTTAGAGAAATTACCACACTAAAACCTAAACTGGTTTTTAGAAAAATCAAATTATCTTTTTCATATTTAGAACTAGGAATCTTATAGAAGCATGCTATCAAAATTGTAAAAATGCCAATCTGTTCCACCACACTAAATCTGCCTGGATAATCAGACCAACATAGTTTCCCCTAAACAAACATCAACTGCCAGTAAAGTCTATACACACCTGGGTTTTATTGCGGCAGCCCCTGCATTCATATGTATGGGTCCTGGTGTTGGCAATCGCCATTATTCCACAAAGATTGCAAACATGAACCTGATATGGATCTGATGCCTCAAACAATCTTTCCCTTAAAAACTGGGCTGCTCCGTGGGCAATCTGACAATCTCGTTCCATTTCTCCAAAACGCAGGCCACCGTCACTGTTAAGAGAAAAAAATTATTACTTTGTACTTATTTTTTATTATAAATACTGCCTTGAATAATGGCAAAGGTGGAGAATAATATTTGCAAAGAAGGAGAACTAGGCTAATTTTTATACCCTAGCATTCTCTCTACTGGTGGGGAGAGGAGAAGTCTACCAACTATTTGATGTGCGTTAGAAAGTCCCCAAATGGGCTAAGCAAAGTGGCTCACCCCTGTAATCCCAGCACTTTGGGAAGTGGACTGGGTGGATCTCTTGAGCTCAGGAGCCTGGGCAACATGGCGAGACCCCATCTCTATTTTTTAACAAATAAAAGTAAAAAAAGAAGGTCCCCAAATGGAGTAGATACATTAGATTCTTAAGTATAGCATTTAATTTTCCTCATAAGATACAATAACGCATAGAGTGGAGGTTCATCATGCTATCATTTAACTTTCTAGAATTCAACTCTAAACTAAAAAAATGAATAATGAAAAAGACAATCTAAATAAGGCAGCTTGTCAATGGAATGACTGTCCCAGGCAATCAACCTTGAAATCATAAACACATGTTGGCTGAAGTAATGGAAAGAACAGGTAAATGATAATAGGTTTCCACAACATAAGAAGTGAAATGCATTATTCAGATGGCCAGGCAAATAGATGGTGATGGCTTCCTTAACATACTTAATATCCAAAATACACAAAATAAAACCAATGGGTTTATAATGATACTCCCCCAAAACAAAAAAATCATTGGTCGACTTTGGACCACTGATCTGGATCATTAGAAAACCAACTCGCTATTTTGAAAACTGGTAAATAAAAGAAGAGAATCAAGCATTTATTCCTGCCCTTACTATAGGAACTACGTCACTAGGTAACCAAACAGTTGAGGAAACAAAGTTTTAGAAGTAGTCTGGCTAAAAAACTGAAGAAGAAATGAGAAAAAAATAGAATGGTATCAGTTTGAAATCTCTATTTAATTAAGGTCTTTAGGTAGTGATCATTAATAGCTGCTAAAAATCATAAAAAGAAAGGCAACCAGATACTGGAAGTATAGAATACCACCTATGAAGGATTACTGCCAAAAAACTCAAACCCTAAATCTCAAGCCTCAAGATCTAATTATTTACAAAACAAAACAAAACAAAACGAAAAAAGCAGGAATGCACAGCATTTGGGATGCAAGCAGCAAAATTCAGTCTCAAGCCCTGGACAAACAGTCCAGATTCTTCAACAAATAAATTACAAGGGAAAAAAAAGGTTGGAAGGCAACCAATAAATTCAAAAAAGGACTTACGGGTCACTATCAATCAATTGCAAAGCATGGACCTTATTTGTATACTGATTGAAACCAACAAACCATTAAAACACTTATGCGATATTCAGGGAAATGTAAACCTGGATATTTAATATTAAGGAGGTACTGTGGTTAGGTTTAACATCCTAATCTTCTAGAGCAGAGGTTCTCAGAGTGTGGTTTATGGACCTCCTGAGAGTCAAAGTTATTTTTAATAGTAATACTAACAACATACATTTGCTTCTTTCACTGTGTTTACATTTGCACTGATGGTGGAAACATGAATAAAACTGCTGGCACCTTAGCAGAACTCAGGGTAGTAGAACCAAACATTACTAGCAGTCATATTCTCCATTCAACTGAAGGGGAGAAAAACCAGTTTTACTGAAAAATGTCCTTAATGAAGCAGTGAAAATAAATAGTTTTATTAAACTTTGACCGTTGAGTACACATCTCTTTCATATCCTGTAACTTTTAAAAAATGAAAGTCCTCAAACAGGCACGATGGCCCACACCTATAATCCCAGCACTTTGGGAGGCCAAGGTGAGAGGCTGGATTGAGCCCAGGAGTTTGAGACCAGCCTGAGCAACATAGTAAGACCCAGTCTCTATGTAAAAAATAAAGTAAAATAAAATGGAACATTTCATAAGCACTTCTACTGTATAGTGAAGACGACTGTCTTGAACAAAAGCACTTGCATGATTCTGAACTAGTCCCTTTTATCATGGAATATCTTTTTTACTCGACTAGCCAACTGACATCAACTAGGTTAACTCATCAACATGTTAACACCCATTATGTTAATTCAGACTTAGAATTAAGTTGACGATGCTGTAGATATTTGGCAGACAAAGAAATAAACAAGAAGAAATGAAAGCAAACAAAAAAAGTAAGTCTTTTACTCTGAGGAAAATAATTTTAAGTATTTGCTGAAAATGATTAAAATTGTGAGCTTCAAGCAAAAATCAGAATTTTAGGAAACTTCTATGCACCACTATGGGCTTGATAGCTCCCTGACATATTTAAAGGCTTTTCTAATGACATCAGTAGTCATATTAACAAATGCAATTTTTTTATTATAATGAAATATGTCACCATTTGAAAATCTGCATAACTCAGCAAACCAATTATTTTCCAAATGACCAATTAGGATGCTACAAAATATGCATGTGTAAAAGATACATTTGAAGTACAAGACAAACCAATGAACTTTAAACATAAAAAATGCAGAAGGTTCATTCATATGGTTTCAGTTTCTACATCAAAACCAATCTTTGAGAAACTACAACTTATCGTTTTGGTGTAGCATCAAAAAAATATCCATAGACCATGCGCCTTGGCTCATGCCTATAATCTCAGCACTTTGGGAGGCCAAGGCAGACAAGTGGATCACTTGAGCTCCAGAGTCTGAGACCAGCTGGGAGACATGGCGAAATCCTGTCTCTACTAAAAAATATGACAAATTAGCTGGGCATGGTGGCGCATGCCTGTAGTCCCAGCTACTTGAGGCTGAGGTGGGAGGATCACCTGAGCCTGGAACGTAGAGGCTGCAGTGAGCTGTGATTGTGCCACCACACTCCAGCCTAGGGAACAGGGGTGAACCTGTCTCAAAAAAAAAGGGGGGGCGGGGGCAGGGGCTGGGCGCAGTGGCTCTTGCCTGTAATCCCAGCAATTTGGGAGGCCAAGGCAGGCGGATCACTTGAGGCCAAGAGTTTGAGACCAGCCTGGGCAACATGGTGAAACCCTGGCTCTACAAAAAATACAAAAATTAGCTGGACTTGGTGGCGCACACCTGTAATCCCAGCTACTCGGGAGGCTGAGGCACGAGAATCGCTTGAACCCAGGAGGTGAAGGTTGCTGTGCGCCAAGATCGCACCACTGCACTCCAGCCTGGGCGAGAGTGAGACTGTCTCAGAAAAAAAAAAAAAAAATCAAAATATTCCTCTCTTTCCAACCACTTATCTGCATGAAATCAGAGTTTCCTCATATACTTAAATATAAAAAATAAAATACTACAATGGAATGAATGCAGAAGTAGATGTAAGAATCCAGCTGTTTCTATTAAGCCAAGTCATTAGAGAGATTCACAAAAATGTAAACCAATGTTATTCTTGTTACTAAATTCATCTGGAAAATAGATATATTTTTCATTAAACATGGTTTTTTGTTTTGTTTTGTTATCGAGACAGTCTCACTCTGTCGCCCAGGCTGGAGTGCAGTGGCGTAATCTTGGCTCACTGCAACGTCTACCTCCTGGGTTCAAGCAATTCTTCCCTCAGGCTCCTGAGTAGCTGGGATTACAGGCGGGAGCCCCGCGCCCAGCCAAAACATGTTATTTATGTTAACATGTAATGAGCTTATTAGCATTTTTTAAATAATAAATTTAAAATCTCAGCTTTAACTTCTAATATGATAAATATCAATAAATACAACTCACATAAAACAAAAGCATTGTGGGTTCCTGGGATCAAGAGATTTGAGAACCATTCTTTTAAAGATATACACTGAAACATTTATAGGAGAAATTATATGATGTCTGGACTTTGCTTAAAAATAATCAAGAGGGCTGGGCGCAGTGGTTTACGCCTGTAATTCCAATACTTTGGGAGGCTGAGGCTAGAGGATTGTGGCCATGAGTTCAAGTTCAGCCTGGGCAACATAGTGAGACCCCATTTCTAGAAAATTTTTTTTTGTTTTTTGTTTTGAGACGAAGTCTTACTCTGTTACCCAGGCTGGAGTGCAGTGGTATGATCTCAGTTCACGGCAACCTCCGCCTCCCAGGTTCAAGCGATTCTTAGGCCTCAGCCTCCCGAGTAGCTGGGATTACAGGTGTGTGCCCAACTAATTTTTTGTATTTTTAGTAGAGACGGTGTTTCACCATGTTGACCAAACTGGTCTTGGACTTCTGACCTCAGGTGATCTACCCGCCTTGGCCTCCCAAAGTGCTGGGATTGCAGACATGAGCCACTGCCTGGCCTCTACAAAAAAAAATTTTTTTTTTTTAAAAGGTGTAGTGGCATAGGCCTGTAGTAAAAAAAAAAGGTTGGAGGGCAACCAATAAATTCAAAAAAGGACTTAAGAAACAATATCAATTTAGTTACTTGGGAGGCTAAGGTAGGAGGATTGCTTGTGCCCAGTTCAAGGCTGCAGAGAGCCATGGTCATGCCACTGCACTCCAGCCTGGGTGACAGAGTGAGACTCTGCCTTTAAAACATGATGATAATATCAAAGGTTAGAAGGATAGAGATGAATGCAACAAGACTGGCCATCAGTCGATAATTGTTGAAATGGGGGTAACAGGCACACAGGCATTCATTATACCACTATCTCCATTTTGGTGTGTTGACATTTTTCATAATATAAGGTTAATTAATAATAACGATGATGATACAGTTCTTACCGAGATCTACCCTCCATGGGCTGTCTATTGAGGATCTGAATAGGTCCCCTAGCACGAGAGTGAATCTTATCATCCACCATATGCTTCAATCGCTGGTAATAAGTGGGGCCAATAAATATTTGTGATGTGATTTTTCGACCAGTGAACCCATTGTATAGGACCTGCAACAAACACAGATTTTGAAGTGTAGACCTAAAAATTAAACAACGTCAAAGAAGATATGTGCATATATTGTGTAACTCCATTTATATAAAAAAGCACAGAACTAATCTAAAATGTTAGCAATTAAGAGAGTAGTTAGCTTGGGGTGGGAGTGGAAAGGTAGCGACTGAAAAAGGTTCAGTCGCTGCCTTCACATTTTTAGATCTTGGTGCTAGTCATGCAGCTGTGCTTACTTTGTGAAAATTCATCAAGCTGTACATCTCTATATGTGCACATATTATACTTCAATGAAAGGTTATATTGTTTCAGAATAAAACTACACACATACAAAAAAACACAAATGACAAAATACTACTATAAGAGCAAATATACCTCATTTCCTCTGAGATGATAGCCATAATCAGATAAAAGATTAGAAATCTTCTGCACGTTAACAGCATCATTAAATGGAGTGGCATCACCAATTTCACCCTTGTTAGCCGATACCTTTTTTAAAAAAAAAAAAGTACTCTTTAAAATGTTGCTTCAGTCTGTCTCCACCTAAAAGTCATATCAATAAAAATGCATTCAAAAAAATTTTAAATACTTTTAAAATTTGAAAGTATTTATTTTAAGTATTTTTAAATTAAAAGACTTTGAACTCGAAATCTATGTTATGGAAAGCTGTGATATATTAAGGTTCATTTTATAATCTTACACAAAATATTTAGAACAAATGAACCTGCTTAAAAAAGAAAAACTCAATTATAAGTATTCCAACAGAAGTCGATCCATGGGATCAAGTACAAAAAGACTGAGACTCATAAGTACTTCAGATGGCTCAAGGAAATGACATTTTAATGCCCTAAAACCAAGCCATCCACATGTTAGACTATTGCCACTTTACCTTAAAAGAATACTTAAAAATAGAAAACCTCCACCAAAAGATGCATATAGAGCTGATAATAGAACTATAAAATTATTAAGTTCACATTGAACTCTCCATCAATAAATTAACTCTTCATCTATAGAAAAGAACCAGTCAAAAGGAAAACCACATATGTAAGTATTAGTTGAATGTAGTATATCTCACAAAAATCCTGACTTGTGTATAACTGCAAATTGCCAAAAAAAAAAAAAAATGGCAGAATCATAATCAATTTGAAAGCAGAAAAGTAAATCTCACACTAGCTTTTTACAAAATACTCTGGCTCAAATTTGAGAGCAATCACCTATCAGAGTTTTAGAAGAAGTATCAGCTTAGAATCTATATTTTTGAAGAACATCTCTTACCTTCCCTTGAAGGCATTCAATTAAGTGACCAATAGTCATACGAGAGGGGATGGCATGGGGATTGATGATGATATCAGGGGTGATACCTTCACAGGTGAAAGGCATATCCTATAAAGAAAAATTTTAAAAGGGACTTAAAGATACATATACTAAACTAGAACTGACACCCCCTCCCAAATGAATTACTGTATGTCCCATATTCTGTTTCAACATGGTATGTTCATATACTTATTCAACAATAAAATAAAAAAGTTCAATCTGTATCATCTTCGAGCTCTTAAGTTAAAGCAAATTTTGATTAAAAAAAAAAAAATGTTTAACAAAACTGTGATTTGGGTGTGAGGGAGATCAAAGATACCTACCTCTTGTCTATACTGAATACCACAAGTACCCTTTTGGCCATGTCGACTAGCAAATTTGTCTCCAATCTGTGGAATCCTAACAGAGCGTACCTAAATTCATATAAAAATAAGTTAAGTGGATCTGGTTTACTTTCTAAGACTAGCTACATGAACAAAGTTCATACAAAGTTCAATACTCACCCTTATTTTACAAAATTTATATCCTTCCTGGTTGAGAGTTACCATAACCTGATCCACAATGCCTGTCTCGCTAGTTCTGAGAAAAGTGCTACAGTCTCTCTTGGTATAGCGTCTATTAGTGCTCTCCAATTCATCTTCATTTTCAGGCAAGGTGACTGTTTTGCCTATAATAACATCATCTCCTGATACACGAACCCCTGGAGCTATCAAACCATCATCATCCAGTTTGTCATAAATGGCATGCCTCATGCCTGTGAGGAAATAGACATGGAATGTCACATAATCCCCAACAAAGATTAAAAACCACATACATGAATCAGTTCCAAGTCAGAGAGAAGGCCACAGGAATTTCTATACCATGAATCATACCCTTATTCCAAATATTACAAACTATTCTGAATTCTGTAATACCACAGTCCACACAGGAAAAAAAGGAAAAAAAAAAAAAGTCTATGAAGAAAAAGAACATTGGAATCAGCATTGGGAAAGCAGATTCTTCCATGACAGACTTTTATCAAGTGACTCTGGATATGTTTTTTGCCATCTTCTGATTTCTATATTATAAGAGAAAGAATATCTCTGCTATCAGTGGGTACAGGAGAAAAAATTTTTTAATTAAAAAGAGAATATCTGTGGATTCCCTCTGCACACATCCTCCCACAGAAATTGTGGATTTCATCTTAACTCAATCTTAACTCCAATGGACATCAATTCACTACTACACAGAACCACCCAATGGAAGGTGAGTAACAGGAAGATGGCAAAGGAAACAAAATACATTTTACTTCATGCAATGCTATTCAGAGTCAAAACTGTAGCAGAAATGTTGCATTTTCCTGGAACAACCCAACCATCCCACTGCATAAGCAGTTTTTAAGTGTCTGTCAAAATAAATAACTAGAAAGTAAGTTTGAGTTTTCTACAAGAAACAACAAATGCTAGGTATCCTCTTTTCACTGGTTATTTTTTAAATGTTTACAAATAATGTGGCTGAACAAATATTATGATCACACCATAATTTGGAAAGGAAGAGGGGACAGGCGTGAAGTGTGTCCCCAGAAATTACATGACCTCTCTGATTTCCTAAACTGCCTCCTCAATGCAGGACCTACCAGGAAGGAAGGTCTGTAGCAAGCTCACTCGTAGGTGCAAAGACTTTTATGAAATACACATATTTTCTTAGATGTGAACTCTAAGAATAACATGAAAACACAGTTTCATTGCACAAAAAAAAGGGGAGGGGGATGGGGGCAGGCGCAGGCTGACACAACCCATCAAAATCACTTAGGAAAACCACAGTAAGTTAACTTTGGATTCCATCATTTAAATGTTAGCGTCACTTACCCTGGCATGTTTCACGTGTAGGCTTCTCAAAAACTTCTTCTTGATCAAATCCTTTTTTAGACTCCTGTTCTTTGTATGAGCGATAGAAAACAGACCTAAAACCACATGGTTCTAAAGGTAAAGTCTATTTTTTAACAAAAGGGCTGAGACTATACCAACAATTTCTCATTTACTTGAAATTTGGGAGACAATTTAAACTATGAATCTGGGACAAGAATAACTGCATTAAGGGTCGGAGTTAAACTCCAAATGTTATCACAAGTTATACATATGTAGCATCTGACCCATAACCTTAACCACCTAGAATTATATGTCAAAATAGAAAAGACCCAGGGTCAATGAGTCCAACCTCCTACACAATTTAAGAATCCATTACAAAATAACCCTGAAAGATGGTCACCTAGGTTCTACTCAAACACTTCCAGTGAGAAGTTTTTACATTGGCCGAGCATGGTGGCTCACGCCTGTAATCCTAGCACTTTGGGAGGCCAAGGTGGGTAGATCATCTGAAGTCAGGAGTTCGAGACCAGCCTGGCCAACATGGTCTGTGCTAAAAATACCAAAAAAAAAAAAAAAAAAAAAAAAAAAAAAAAAAAAGCTGGGTGTGGTGGTGCAAGCCTGTAATCCCAGGTACCTGGGAAAATGAGGCAGGAGAATCTCTTGAAACCTGGGAGGCGGAGATTGCAGTGAGCCAAGATTGCACCACTGCATTCCAGCCTTGGCAACAGCGAGTTCTGTCTCAAAAAAAAAAAAGAAGTTTTTACATTAAGCCATAATATGTATCCTCTGAGTTCTAGTGCTATCCTTTGAAACTACACAGAAAAAGGAAAATCCATTCCCCTCTACTAAATTCCCAGTTTTTAAAACAATCTTTATATGCCTTGAATTTGAGGTCTATTTGTCAATAGGACAATCAAGCTGAAGCATAATGGAAAAAAAGAGTGAAAAGAAAACACACCATAATTTTAACAGTAGTTATCTATGGATTCTAAGTTATTTTTATTTCTTCTTTAGACATTTCTATATTATCTAAATGTAAATGTATATTTCCTTACCAAAAGAAAGGCTCAAAATACTAGCATTTGAAATTCCTAAGAGATATAAGAAGTAGTATCTTCAGTTGTTTGTGACCATCAGCCAGGCCTTCTGCTTTCTGGAGTAGTGCGTAGCTAAACTATATTTTAAGAACTTTTTCTGAATAAAATATTAGTGTTTCCACTGTATCTGTGTTGTGACAAATTTACAAAATACAAACCTGAAGAAGCCACGGTCTACAGCTGAACGATTCATGATAACAGAGTCTTCCTGATTATATCCAGTGTATGATGCAATGGCCACAATTGAGTTGATGCCTGCAGTGAATTTAAAAAGCACATATTTAAAAAAAAAAAAAAAAAAGCATACATTAAAACATCACCCGGAAAACAGGAAAACTGCCCTTTCTTTAAATCAACTTTAATTAAACCATATTTGCCATAAATGCTTGGGTGTTTGTTGTCACGGTAACTGCCAAAGTCTATTCCTCCTAGAATAGCAATCTGTGAGGCAACTACTCTGATGGCTAAATATCTCACACAAGCAAATCCTAAGACTAGTCACTCCCAATGTATCCATTCTCATAATAAGTGATTATACATGTGAGTCACCTCCTACTTAGAAAGTGCCTCCCCAAACCAAGTTTCATGATCCTCACAGCAACTCTGTGCCATAAACAAAATAAGCATTATTATTCTCATGAATCAGAAGAGTGAATTAACAATCTACCCATGATCTCAAAATTAATAAGCAATAGGCTCAAGCCCCAGCTCCTTGTCTCCCGATTTCTGGTTTTAGGTTTGAAACTGGTACTACCCTATTTCCCTCTCCTTGTACCACCAAAAAATTATCATATCTTTCCCGCCACAATGAAATTCTTACTTGCTGCTGCCAAAACACTGTTGGATGAGCCCATAAAATAACTGGATATTCAACTCTCGCCTGTAATCCCAGCACTTTGGGAGGCCAAGGCAGGTGGATCACAAGGTCAAGAGATCAAGACCATCCTGGCCAACATGGTGAAACCCCATCTCAACTAAAAATACAGAAATTAGCTGGGCGTGGTGGCGTGTGCCTGTAGTCCCAGCTACTCGGGAGGCTCACACAGGAGAATCCCTTAAACCCGGGAGGTGGAGGATGCAGTGAGCTGAGATCACACCACTGTACTCCAGCCTGGTAGCAGAGTGAGAATCTGTCTCGAAAATAAAATAAATAACATAACATAACATAACATAACATAACATAACATAACATATAAAATAACTTGATATTCTTAACCTGGATATCATCATGAGGAAAGAATAGTCAAACCTAAATTGAGACACAATGCAAAATAACTTTCCTGAACTCTTCACAAATGTCAAGGTCATGAAAGACAAGGAAAGACTAAGAAACTGTTCTAGATTAAGGAAACTAAAGAAACATGTAATTAAATGCAATCCACAATCCTAGATTAGCTCCTAGACCCACTAAAGACATCGTTAGGTTTGAATACAATAAAAACTGCTTTCTTTAAAAAAAAAAAAAAAAAAAAACCATCATTAGGACAACTGGCAAAATTTGAATTGAGGACTGCTGACTATATGGATAGCCATGTTATCCTGATTTGATGGCTGCACTACAGAGAATGTCCTTGTTCTTAGGAAACACATACTGAAGAAGGAAACACATGCTTCACGCCTGCAACTTACTCTCATGTGGTTCAGGAGAAGTAATAAAAAGGGAGAGAATAATAGAGCAAATGTGGTAAAATGTTAAAAGTTTTTTTAAAGATGGTATGATGGATCGGCTGTAGTGGCTTACATCTGTAATCCTGGCACTTTGGGATGCTGAGGTGGGAAAATCACTTGAGCCCAGAAGTTTGAGACCAGCCTGGGCAACAAAGCAGACCCTATCTCTACAAAAAAAAAAGAACTTCAAAATAAAGATGCCATGATGAAGTCAGGAATAACAGAACTGCAGTCCTGCCAGCCATGACTCTCCACTTACGCCAGTACCAAAGGAACATTTGCTTTCCAACCTAGTCCTTCAGTATATGTATTTTCTTCTCTAGCCATAAAGAAACTGTATTATCTAAATGTTGGAGAAAACACAGCACTGCAAGCACAGCCCAAAGATACGTGCATACTGTGTAGACAACCTAACAGATTTTGCTTTTCTAGACAAGAGGAACCCCTTGTGGAGGATTTTGAAAGTAAGTAATTTTAACCTATGAGAATTTCCTATCAAAATGTTAGAGCCCCATTACAGTACACTAAAGATGAACTTTACTAACAAATAACAAATGTTACTCACATTCAAAGCCAAAAGTCTGTTAATACAAAAGATAACAACAGTGCCAAAGAACTCTACCATCTCCTTTAATAGTCCACACTCATACCCTTCAGATTTCTCTTCGCCATTTTACCTACCATCCAGTCTCCCTGAGATTCCCCTCCTTACCAGCTAATTCTCAAATCTTCTCTCCTGATTTCTCTTCCTGGTGTCTAAAATTGTCTGCCTCTGGCCTTTTTCTCAATCTAAATTCTCCTTAGGCAATTTCATAGTAATCTATAATTATCATTAATAAATAAAAAATTTTACATCTCTAGACTTGACTTTCTTTCAAATCATGTTTGCAACTCACTGTTGTTGGAAGTTCACGTCTTAGTGTTCTGACACTAAGACACTAAATCAAAATCAACATATCCAAAACAGAATTACTATCTTACCTCTAAAACCTCTTCCCCCTTCTAACATGTTCCCAATCTTATTTTTCCCCCAACCTATTCATAGCACCTCTCTTTAATCACTCAAGCCAGAAACACCAACAATATTTCCAATTCCTCTTCATTGTTCCATACTCAGCCATTCATCAAGCCCTATCAAGTGTATTTCAAAAGGTATCTTACCCATCATTCTTTTTCATTTATTTAGGACCCTGCCATTTCACATTTAGACTACTGCAAAAACCCCTAAATTATCACCCTGCTAATACAGTACCTCACTGTAATCTACTCTTTATGCCGCTGTCAGAATGGTATTCCTAAAACAAATTTCTAATTGTATTACTTCCCTGATCCAAAAGGTTGGATGTGTCTCCATTTTCAAAATAAAAGTCAACCTGTTCAGGCTCTCTCCACACTGAGACCAAGCTTTCACTCCCATATATTTACACTCCACCCACACTAAGCTGACATGACTCCTAACTGTACCCATTTTTCATGACTTCATCCATCTGTGCCCTTGCTTAAACCACCTCTCAAATGCAAACACCCCTTCATCAATTTTGCTCCAATCTAAAATGCCACCTTCTCCATGAAATTGAATCTAGACTTCCAACAGGAATTAATTGCTTCCATCAGTCTGTGCTTCTAAAGGACTTTGTACCTCCACCATAAGACTTTCCACATAACTACCTTTTTATTATGTTCACGTTTCCCACCATATTATAAATTCCGTGAGAACAGACACTATGTCATATTTATTTTTTAATCCTGCCAAGCACCCAGAAAAGTGCCTTAAACATGGCAGGATCTTAAATAACGTAGAGCAAAACTGACCATACCTGCTGGCAGCTCTCTAAATCGTAGATACTCCATAGACCGTGTAGTTACAAGTGGTTTTTGAGGATAGTAGAGAACATGGGCCAATGTGTCCATGCGAACATGGAAGTTGGTGATGTAAACTCCCATAGCCTGCTTACCCATAGCAGACTGGTATGTGTTTCTAGGGGACTAAACGTAAAAATGAAAAGCAGAATCAACGAAAAGTTACTATTGCTAATGGAAAAGACTCTGACAATAAATCAGAAGAAATATGATTGGTAAAATTCCTGATTTTTTTCAAAAACAGTAAGTAATAACCATTCGAAATAATCAATTACGGCTCTTAACCATGAAACACAACAGCAAGTATATCAAATGCTGATTCTGTAGGAATTCAGAGCCTTTCATTTAAAGGCTTTTTCCCTCCAGATACGATTACAGAGTTACTTCCAATTTTTATTACTTCTCCCAATTCCTCACACCAGAAGACGAAAAGTGATACCAACCTGGTTATGATCAGGAAAGGGAATAATAGATGCACAGACACCAAGGATCATTGAGGGATGAATCTCACAATGTGTATATGTGGAACAATAAGCTACTTCCTTCTCCTGTAAATCATCTGGAGTCATTGCAAGCATCACTGTTTCTTCTTCCAGTGTATCAATATATTCCACTACCCCACTGGCCACAAGATCCTGCCAACTAAAAAAGAATTCACTCAATTTTATATTTCCTGAAATATTTTAACTAACTATTCCTCCTACTTAAAAGTATTCCTATAAGTATATTTAAATATAGTTTATTATATATTAAATATACATATAATATATATTTATATATATAGTTTAATATTATATATAACTGACCAACATAGTTACATGATTGTTGACAGTGAAAAAGGTAAGCTGCTGGAGAATAAGGCCTGGTAGAATACACACCTAACTGTTACCAGTATTTACTTGTGAAGAAGAGTATAAATTGGAGGGCAATTTTTTAAATTTATTACACATATTATTTGAATGATTTTTACATTAGTATACATAACTATACATTCATTTGCTAAAAAAAATTTAAATCAGCTTCATCTTTTCACTAAATTTCTTATATTATTCATATTATATCATATTATATGTAATATATTATATTTAGATTATATAGGTTATTTCTCCTTATTACTATTAATAGATTTTAACATATCACAAAAAAATTTTTTTTGAGACAGAGTCTCTGTTGCCCAGGCTGGTACAATCAAAGCTCACTACTCCTGTACTCAAGTGATCCTCCTGCCTCAGGCCTCCTGAGTAGCTAGACTGCAGGTGCATTCCACCACACTTGACTAATTTTTTTATTTTTTGGAGAGATGGGAGTCTCCCTATATTGCCCAGACTGGTCTTGAACTCCTGGTCTCAAGCAATCCTCCCACCTTGACCTCCCAAAGTGCTGAGATTACAAGCATGAGCCACTACACCTGGGCAATCAAAAGACTTTTAAACTTAAACAAAATCCTATTAATTATCTTGCTTCATAATAAAAGTTAAGAAAAACAAATGTGACTCCTAAAGGTACAGAGTTTTTTGGGGGCAATGAAAGTATTCTAAAATTAGATGATGGGTGCACAACCTTGCAAACATACTAAAAACCACTATTGTATACTTTTTAAAAATCATTAACTTGCCAGACGCGGTGGCTCATGCCTGTAATCCCAGCACTCTGGGAGGCTGAGGCAGGCAGATCACTTGAGACCAGGAGTTCAAGACCAGCCTGGCCAACATGACGAAACCCTGTCTCTACCAAAAATACAAAAATTAGCTCGGTGTGGTGGCGCATGCCTGTAATCCCAGCTACTAGGGTGGTTGAGGCAGGAGAATTGCTTGAATCCAGGAGGCGGAGGTTACAGTGAGCCAAGATCGCATCACTGCACTCCAGCATGGGTGACAGAGTTGAGCTTGTGTAAAAAAAAAAAAAAAAAAAAAATTAAAATTAAATAAAATTAAATTTAAAAATGGTTAATTTTATGGTATGTAAATTCTATCTCAATTTTTAATACACACATTTTTCTCACTGCATGTTTTTACCTGTAGTTGTTATATTCTCTCTCTTTCAATTGGTCAATATGCCTCTTCTTCAAAAGTAGCTTTTGTTTTTCCACAATCAGAAGTGGTCTGCAAATACGGCCTGCATCTGTATAGATCCGAATCTCCCTCTCTCGAATATCTCTGATCATAGAAACCTATATATAGAAAGAAAAAAGTTCCATGAATTTTTATTTTCTCTTAGTTAAAAATACAATACAAATCCTACTAAATTTCTGGAGCAACCAATTTCTCAAGTAAAATGTGCAAATCTTAGTTTACCATTGTTTAACATATTATAAACTTAGGTAAAAATTTTATGAATCAAAAAATCTAACCTTGGCAATTATAAAGCTGAACAATAATATCTGGTAATAATGTCATGCAAGTTAACGTAGGAAATATTTTTTCAATACCACAAACACTAGTACATGACAATTTCTTATTTTGGCTCTTTGCTGATGACATATATCTCACCCTACAACCTTTCAAAAACCAGCCCTATGTCACTATGCTTTGACCATACTTTCCCAGTCATTAGCCTGACTTCTCACACACACCTATCAGATGTAAGCCTGACTACTCACACCCACCATCAGATAAATGGCTTACAGTCTAGCTATCTAACACAGTGGATAGCCACATGTGACTACTGAGCACTTGAAATGTCGCCATTCTGAACTGAGATGTGCTGTTAAGTATAAACCACATAATGGATTTGAAAGACAGCACCAAAACAGGAAAAAAAGAATGTAAAATGGTTTATTAATAATTTTTATATTAATAGAATGTTGATGTAATACTTTGGGATGTATCAAGTCAAATAAAATATGCTATTAGAGACCAGGCGCAATGGCTCATGCCTGTAATCCCAACACTTTGGGAGGCCAATGTGGGCAGATCACCTGAGGTCAGGAGTTTGAGACCAGCCTGGCAAACTTGGTGAAATCCTGTCTCTACTAAAAATACAAAAATTATCTGGGTGTGGTGGCACGCGCTTGTAATCCCAGCTCCTCAGGAGGCTGAGGTAGAAGAATCACTTGAACCTGGGAGGCAGAGGTTGCAGTGAGCTGATATCATGCCACTGCACTCCAACCTGAGTAACAGAGTAAGACCCTGTCTCAAAAAACAAAATAAAACAACAAAACATCAAGTTTTTCTCCAAAATGAAAGAGTCAAAAGACAAGAAAGAGAAAAATGCTCCAAGTTCCTAGTCTACTGCCTGTCCTTAGAAAGTAATTTAAGGAGAAAACACTGTGAGCAAAAATATCATGAGTAGTATTCTAAAGTCCAAGAAAGATTCTGCTTTCAAATGCACTGCCTTAAGTTCTTAGAAAACTAACGTTCCTGACAGAATATAGCTCTATGGTCTTTTTTTTTTTAAATAAAAACAGGGTCTTGATACGTTGCCCCAGGCTGGTTGGTCCTAAATTCCTAGCTTTAAGCGATCCTCCCACCTCAGCCAGCCAAAGTTACGGGATTACAGGCATGAGCCAGCACACCCGACCACTCTACCTCACCCACCAGGTGTTTTTGTAAACACAGTTTTATTAGTTTATGTATTACCTATGGCTGGTTCTCACTACAACAGCAGAGTTAAATACATAACACATACTGTATGATGAACAAAACCTGGGTGTGGTGGCACACACCTTGTGGTCTCAGCCACTTAGGAGACTGAGGTGGGAGGATCGCTGGGGCCCAGAAGGTAGAGGCTGCAATGAACCATGATTGTGCTACTGCATTCCAGCCTGGGCGACAGAGGGAGATCCTCTCCAAAAAAAAAAAAAAAAAATACAGCCAACCTACTGTATAGCTCCCAACACTTTGGGAAGCCAAGGCAGGAAGGACTGCTTGAGCCCAGGAGTTCAAGACCAGCCGGGCAACATAGTGAGACCCCACCTCTATTAAAAAATACAGAGATAGAGAGAGAAAGAAAGAGACCTTTTTTTGAGCTTTCTCTTAGTCTTGCCTGCCCTCAAGTGAATCACTCTCTTCCTGCCTTCAAGCTGTAAATAAGCCTGGGTCAAAATCCAGGGCCAGGCTGGGCTCAGTGGCTCACATCTGTTATCCCAGCACTTTGGGAGGCCAAGGCAGGCAGACGGCTTGAGCCCAGGAGTTCAAGACCAGCCTGGCCACCTATGGCAAAACCCCATCTCTACCAAAAATACAAAAATTGGCTGGGCACGGTGGCTCATGTCTGTAATCCCAGCACTTTGGGAGGCTGAGGCAGGCGGATCACCTGAGGTCAGGAGTTCGAGACTAGGCTGGCCAACATGGAGAAACCCAGCCTCTACTAAAAATACAAAATTAGCTAGGCATGGTGGCAGGCACCTATAATCCTAGCTACTCAGGAGGCTGAGGCAGGAATTGCCTGAACCTGGGAGGCAGAGGCTGCAGTGAGCTGAGATCATGCCAGTGCACTCCAGCCTGAGCGAAAGAGCGAGACTCTCTCTCAAAAAAATAAAAATAGAAATACAAAAATTAGCCGGGCATGGTGGTACACGTCTGTAATCCCAGGTATTCAGGAGGCTGAGGCATGAGAATTTCTTGAACCTGGGAGACAGAGGTTGCAGTGAGCTAAGATCGCAACACTGCACTCCAGCCTGGGCAACAGAGCCAGACTCTGTCCCCACCCCCGCCCCCCGCCCCAGAAAAAACACTCAGGGCCTGCTGCTGGAAAAGGCCCAGAACCACCAAATTCTCTTCTCTGCTTTGTTAGGTACAAAGAGTAGTTACTGGCTAAGTGTGTTCAGTTTCTCTCCAAAACCACTTTCACCCAAGGTATATAGATTTGGGAAAATTAAAAGCCTGAGCTACATTCCTCAAACAGTATACTAAAACCCTTATTTGGGAGAGTAATAAAGTCCACAATATATTGTAATGATTTTTTTTTTTTTTTTTTTTTTTTTTTTTGAGGCGGAGTCTCGCTCTGTCGCCCAGGCTGGAGTGCAGTGGCGCGATCTCGGCTCACTGCAAGCTCCGCCTCCCGGGTTCCCGCCATTCTCCTGCCTCAGCCTCCCGAGTAGCTGGGACTACAGGCGCCGCCACCACGCCCGGCTAATTTTTTTGTATTTTTAGTAGAGACGGGGTTTCATTGTGTTAGCCAGGATGGTCTCGATCTCCCGACCTCGTGATCCGCCCATCTCGGCCTCCCAAAGTGCTGGGATTACAGGCTTGAGCCACCCCGCCCGGCCTGTAATGATTTTTTTAAAATTATTATTTTATTTTTATTTTTGGAGACAGAGTCTTGCTCTGTCACCCAGGCTGGAGTGTAACAGAGCAATCTCTGCTCATTGCAGCCTCTGCCTCCCAGGTTCAAGCAATTCTCATGCCTCAGCTTCCCGAGTAGCTGGGACTACAGGTGCATGCCACCATGCCTGGTTGATTTTTTTTATTTTTAGCAGAGACATGGTTTCACCATGTTGGCCAGGCTGGTCTTGAACTCCTGACCTCAAGTAATCCGCCTGCCTCGGCCTCCCAAAGTGCTGGGATTACAGGCATGAGCTACTAGGCCCGGCCTTATTATAATGATTTTTTAAAAACCCATCCTAATCCCAAAGCACTTCAATATCCTCCAAAATCCTCCAAAATATAAAAGAATCTATTAGCGGTATATCACATTTTATTAACGAATCTCTGAATTCAAAGGATAAATCCCAGATGCTTATTCCCTTTTTAAAAGTATTCTCAGCTTTATAAAAAGATCCCCAAAAGAATTTTTACTTTAAAATATAATTTGAGTTCTAAAATATAATTTAATAATTTAAAATGTGTCAAAATTTTTGGAAGCATGTATCCAAAGATTAAGGCAAGCAATGTTTTTTTTTTTTTGAGACAGAGTCTCGCTCTGTGGCCAGGCTGGAGTGCAGTGGCGTGACCTTGGCTCACTGCAACCTCCGCCTCCTGGGTTCAAGCAATTCTCCTGCTTCAGCTTCCTGAGTAGCTGGGACTATAGGTGCGCATGACCACGCCCAGCTAATTTTTGTATTTTCAGTAGAGACGGGGTTTCACCATGTTGGCCAGAATGGTCTCAATCTCTTGACCTTGTGATCCGCCCTCCTCAGCCTCCCAAAGTGCTGGGATTACAGGCATAAGCCACCATGCCCAGGCTTTTTTTTATTTTTTGAGACAGAGTCCCACTCTGTCACCCAGGCTGGAGTACAGTGGTGCGATCTCACCTCACTGTAACCCCCACCTCCTGGGTTCAAGTGATTCTCCTGTCTCAGCCTCCCCAGTAGCTGCGATTACAGGCCCGTGCCACCATGCCTGACTAATTGTTGTATTTTTAGTAGAGATGAGGTTTCACCATATTGGCCAGGCTGTGCTTGAACTCCTGACCTCAGGTGATCTACCTGCCTCAGCCTCCCAAAGTGCTGGGATTACAGGCATGAGCCACTGTGCCCGGCCTAGCAATAACTTATAATTAAATTTACACTTTACAGTTCAAGGAAATAAAGTTCAAAGAAAAGATGCCAATGCAAAGATAACTTTCACTAGTCGTATGCCTTGTTTAAAAATCTCACAGACCACACCCTCTTAACTAAAGATTCTTACTTCAGACACAATGATGTCCATCTGACGTCGCAATTTCCTTAGGGTGTTCATAAGTTGTTCAGGATCTTTATGTATTCCAACCCAGCAGCCATTAACAAAAATCTTGGTTGCACTACAAAAGAAAAAGCAAAAGCATTTTATGCTTAACAATTCTATACCAAGCAACAACTAAAGATTAACCACAGTTTAAAAAGCTAATTCCATCTATACACACTCAGCAATAGCTGCAGGAGAAATTTCTTCTAAGTTTTCCATACTCCATTCTTCTAAAAATTCCAGAATTGGAGATGGTTGAGATCCAACTGAAATATATGCCATCAACGCTAAATTCTTCACAAGTCCTACAGCATGGCCCTAAAAAATAAACCAAGTATTAGTCATTCTGATTTTGCATGCCTATCAGACTTCTTTTCCATAAACATTTTTCCTTCAATGTGATTTCAAGATTTATTCTTTCTAAGAATACAATTATTTAAAAAATCTTATTTCTAAACCACTCTGCATAATTTTTTAAACATCTACTTCTAAAAGCAATTATGCCCTACATAATTACTCACTGACTTTTTGTCCTGAATATAAATTCTAATGTATTACCTCTGGGGTCTCGGCAGGACACACCATCCCCCACAACGTATTATGCAACTGTCTTGGTTTTGCTAGCTTGCCATCTCTACCAATAGGAGAATTTAAACGACGCAGGTGAGAAAGAGTAGATGCAAAAGTCAGGCGGTTTAATACCTAGAAAAAAATAACCAATCTTTAAAGTCTGGACATTTCTGTGATTCATAGTATTACACTGAGGCAAAGTCAAGTTTTACACATAATCTACTGAGTATCAAACTGTTCCCCATTTCTCTATTCTTTCCCTGAATAATGTTGTTTAACACCTTAACTTACCTGCCACTTGCAGCAGGGATGGCAAATACATTCTAACATACCACATAAACATTCTGTGTATGGTCTCCAAACAAACACTAGGACATTAGTTTCATGAAGGCAGGGAATTTTTAAAATTGTTTTATTCTCTGTTGTATCCCAGCACCTAAAACAGTACTTGGCATTCATTAGATATTCAATAAGTGTTAAGTTAAATTCTACCAACTCACACTCCTTTGATCATAGCAGACATCACTAATTCATCTCATTACTTTTTCCAGACTGAGGCCTCTGAATCTAATAGAAAAATGCAAACATCCATTACCAATACTTACAGGATACTAACCAAGATGTTATTTATAAATAAGATAATATTTAGGGCAACATAAAGCAGACAACTCAAGCTCTGTATTATTAATTATTTATAAATCTCCATCTTCCCCTAGTCCTTAAATAACTCAAACCTCCTTCCTCTTTCCTAAGTCTTCTGTCATGGATAAGCAGCATCACCTTTCTCTCAATCTGGAAATCTCAAAATCATTTTTGTCTACAAGTTCCTCCTTCCACACATCTATAAACATACCCTGTCAATTCTATTTTCAAATTTTCTAAAAAACCTAGCCCCTCCCTTCCCAATGTCACAGTAATAGACCAGCCCATTTCCCCTCATCTATACTACGTCCATCAGCTCTGCCTGGTTCCCTCCAATCCCTGCCTGGTTCCCTCCAATCTACCTTCCTCACTTGCCAGAATTATTAAACACTTACCCACTTAAAAATTAAACAGATAGCCACTGGCTACTGAAGAGCACAACACTGAAGTCCTCCTCAATGAAGCCCCAAAAACGACCTTCCCTTTAGTCTCCTTACACTCCTGTACTCAACTGACATCACCACACACCCTCACCTCCATGCCTTTGACCATGCTATTGCCACAGAATGAAATGCCCTTCTCCACTCTGCTCTGCCTGGTGAAATGATACCACCTCTACAAAGCCATCTGACCCACCTCCAGGAAGAACTATTCTCTTTTCTGTACTCATTGGAGTTTTCAACCGTTCAACGAAATCAATCACAAAGTCTTATGAAACTTACTTCCTAAATATTTCTAAAATTTACTCTCCATCTCTATAAAACTGCTCTAGTCCAGTCCCTAATTATTTCTCACCCCAGGCTGTTGCAACAATCTTCCTGCCACCAACCTTGCCCTTCTCAAGTCTTTTCTCCACACTGCCAATTACTGTGAATCTGTCCGAAAGAACAAAAATGACCACGTCACTCCTCTTCATGAGCTGGTTCCCATCCTCCTAAGCCTCCACTTTGATTTGAAAACCCAGAACTGCTCTAGCTCCCACGACAGACACACATTCCTTCCTCCCTCTATCTCTTAACTCAGAATATTAAGAAGTTCTCTAAGCTCTCTTATGAGCTGCTGGTTCTACCTACCTGGCAACTTGGGGCGTTTTCCAATTACTCTTCAAGATTCAGTTCAGGTGTTACCTCCCAAACAAGGACTTCTTTTCACCTTCTGAGGCTGTGCTAAGTACCTTTCTCCAGCATTCCCACAGAGCGGTAGTGCACATCTCTTATCAAAATAGTTACCATGCCATGTTATAATTATCTGTTTACATCTATCTACAAGCATAGGCTGTGAACTACTGAAGATCAGGATCACTGCATCTCCAGCATGTGGCAGAGTGCCTGGCACATCACAGGTCCCAATAACAATTCCTTGAACTTGGCCAGGCGCAGTGGCTCACGCCTGTAATCCCAGCACTTTAGGAGGCCGACGTGGGCGGATCACAAGGTCAGGAGATCGAGACCATCCTGGCTAACACGGTGAAACCCCGTCTCTACTAAAAATACAAAAAATTAGCCAGGCGTGGTGGCACGCACCTGTAGTCCCAGCTACTCGGGAGGCTGAGGCAGGAAAATGTCATAAACCCGAGAGGTAGAGTTTGCAGTAAGCGGAGATCGCCACTGCACTCCAGCCTGGGTGAGAGAGCAAGACTCTGTCTCAAAAAAAAAAAATTCTTTGCACTGAATTTGCAATGTGGCATTTGTCATAACACAGCACAGGGCATAGTGAGCTACACATGAATGAATCTGTTTCCTCTGCTAGATGCTGATGAGCTCCCTGAGGCTGAGATAGCATCTCATTCACGTATGTGAACTCAGTATCACAAATATCAAACATACCCAATAAATCCTTACTGAATTAAAAGGAATTTAAATATTAACTTTGCTATCAGCAGCCCCTCAAAATTTCTTAGAGCATCCAGATTTCTAGGAAAAAGGAGCTTGAAATTGGTGTCCGAATGCCAAATCAATCAGGTGATACTGGTATAGGCTAGTTTAAACAAGGAAAGGAAGGGGAGATACCCCTAAAAATGGCATAAAGTACATTATAGATTTTCAATCATCTATGAAAAGCAAATACAAAAAATTAAAATGCCTAGTGAGACACTCTTGGAAAAGCTTTTCTCCATTACTCCATCTGAGAATAGCTACTGTAGTCACTATATATGCAACAGACCAACATATAGAAACCAGTGTCAGAAGTACTGTATTTTCCAACAAAGGAGGGCAATGACCATTTATTCTCTGGGTTAGCTTCTAATATGGAGCTTTTAAGACATAACAATTTCACGAACATGGACGGTCTCACCCACTAAGTAGCTACTCTAATTTCTTAATTATTTTAAAACTGCAAGCCAAAAATCTATCTTAGTAATGCTAATAGTTAATTTAAGAAAATTTCATGTTCATAATTCAAAAGTCTCCTTAAGTTTTTTGTTGTCTCACTCTTTTCGCCCAGGCTGGAGTGCAGTGGCACGATTTCGGCTCACTGCAACCTCCGCCTCCTGGGTACAAGCGATTCTCCTGCCTCAGTTTCTCAAACAGAGTAGTTGGGATTACAGTCACCCACCACCAAGCCCAGCTAATTTTTGTATATTTAGTAGAGACAGGGTCTCGCCATGTTGGCCAGGTTGGTCTCAAACTCCTGACCTCAGGTGATCCAGGCCGCCTTGGCCTCCCAAAGTGCTGGAATTACAGGCGTGAGCCACCGCCCCCGGCACCCAGTAGTTTTACATTTGATCAAGTAAGAAAAGCAAAATAATTTACATTCAACAAACAAAAGAATCTACCAGTCCTATAAACATGTTTCCTATTGAACCTGTAGTCATAGTTGGCACACTTACCTGAGATACTCCAGCTCTGGCTTGATGAGCTTTCTTTTGATCACCCCAGTTTCCAGTAGCTAAAGAGTATTTTAGGCCATCAGATATGATCCGTGTTTTAATTGCCAACTCCAAGTTAAAATCCTTTCCTCGATCAATGAATTTCTGTGCATAGATCCGCACTTCTTTAAGCAAATTCTTAAACATACTGCCAAATCAAATGATATTATTTTAAACATGTAGAGGTCTACAACATATATTCTCAACAGGAGCAATATTGCAAAAAAAAAAAAAAAATGCGAGTATTTTGCAATATTGCAAAAAAAAATGTGAGTAAAAAAATATGTGAGTAGAAAAAAAGTATGGGGAAGGTGAGCAAAAATTGTTTGGGCAGAGTGAAAGTTCTTGCTCTTTTATGTTGCTCTTTTATGTCTCAAGCACAGATATACGCATAGTACATGAACATACATGGCAGGGGAGCAATTACACAAAAATGTCAAAGAGGCGGGGCGTGGTGGCTCACATCTGTAATCCCAGCACTTTGGGAAGCTGAGGCAGGTAGATCACCTGAGGTCAGGAGTTTGAGGCCAGCCTGGCCAATATGGAGAAACACCGTCTCTACTAAAAATACAAAAATTAGCCGGGTTTGATGGCACATGCCTGTAGTCTCAGCTACTCGGGAGGCTGAGACAGGAGAATCGCTTGAACCTAGAAGGCAGAGGTTGCAGTGAGTCCAGATCGCGCCACTGCACTCCAACCTGGACAACACAAGCGAAATTCCATCTCAAAAAACAGAAATGTTAAAAGAGGCTCCTTAGTGGAGTAATAACAAAAAAAGGTTGAAAAACACTAACCTATAACATACTAAATAACAAAACACGTGCAAAACACTGCTAATGTTATCCTTTTTGTACTGTCTACATATTTCATTTTTTAAAATAACTTTTTTCCAATTATAGAAAATATGGGAAATATAAAAACATCAAGAATAGAATTAAAAACTGCACATAATATCAATACTGTGAGACAATCACTGATAGTATTTTTATATATTTCTCTCCAGCTTTTGTATATATGTGTACAAAGCGGGACAAAATCCAATATTAGCCCTTAGGGAAACCAAGGCAATCATTCAGCTTTCTCAAACATCTTACAAAGCTACCAGAGGAATAAAGAAAATATAAACATGTAATATATTGTCCTCATAAACCTGGCTTTCCTAGACATGAACCAAAACTAAATCTGAGCAAGTAGCAATAAGAATGTAGCTAACTTCATAAGTACCCAACGTGGGTGCCAACACAGTTTAGCCTGGCCATGTGCAATGATTGACCTAAAGTGAAATAAATCTCCCTACTTTAACGACTTCATTCTGTCATTCTATAATTCCTTACCCTCTAAATAAGAATGCCAGCAGCGGCCCAGCAAGATCCAATCTCTTGTTTCCATAGTGATCTCTGTCATCTAGTTCTCTTCTACCCAAAGCTGCCAGAAGTAACCTATGCACCATATATCTTAGAAAAAGAAAAGAAAAAAGAAAGGAAAACAGTTTTAGGCTTTTCTTGATTTATATGTTAAAAACATCATTTTTGACTTTAAGAAAAACCTTTATCTCAACTATATCTTGATAAAGAACTTAAAACAATGAAACTTAACATACCCCAAGAAATAGGCTTTTTTGGTCTCACAAAAATCACTGACACCAACATGAGGGAGCATTTCTTTTTGTAAAACTTCCTTTGCATATTTAATTCTTTTCTCTTTAGTAACACCAGGCTTTGCCCCTCTCGAACCAATGAAATTTAGTGCAACATTCTGTTCTTGGATGACAAAAGCTTCATCGAGAGAAGGTTTAACCTATCAGACAATTTAAATAAAGGTTATTTTCAAATTCATGTTGTTACCTTAAAATGAGTAAACTGTCACTTAGTTTATAACATACCAAGTGTCCCTACGAACCTAATAAAATGTGAATATTTTTAGAAAATCAAGGAATCACAAATTCTTAGCAGACCCCTCAGAGATCTAGAGATCTCTGACAAAATCCACTCATCAGCACAGGCATTACACTTTCTAGAAAAATACAAATAATTCCATTATAAAAAGAGTAGTACATGGCCGGGAGCAGTGGCTCATGCCTGTAATCCCAGCACTTTAAGAGGCTGAGGTGGGCAGATAGCTTAAGTCCAGGAGTTTGCGACTAGTCTGGGCAACGTGGTGAAACCCCATCTCTGCTAAAAATACAAAAATCAGCCACCGCAGTGGCACAGGCCTGTAGTCCCAGCTACACGGGAGGCTAAAGTGAGAGAATCGTTTGAACCCTGGAGGCAGAGGTTTCAATGAGCCGAGATAGTACCACTGTACTCCAGCCTGGGTGACAGAGTGAGACACTGTCTCAAAAGGAAAAAAAAAGAGTGGTGCATTTCTTTTTTACGTTTTACCAATGGCAAAATAAAGTTCCAGATATCTAAAACCAATTTACAGAAGTTTCATAGTCAAATTAAAGTTTACTGAACTACAAATGCTTAATGTGCCAGACTGTTTTCAGTTTTGGTATTTAAAAATGTTTGGCCCGGGTCGGATGGGGCTCACTCCTATAATCCTAGCACTTTGGAAGGCCAAAACAGGAGGATGGCTTGAGCCCAGGAGTTCGAGACCATCCTGGGAAAGAAAATGAGAACCTAAATCTACAAAAGAAAACTAAATTTTTATCCAGTATGTACTTCGGATGTAAAAAAAAAAAAAAAAAAAAAGATTTGCCGGGCCTGGAGGCTCACGCCTATAATCTATCCCAGCACTTTGGGAGGCCGAGGCGGGCAGATCACAAGGTCAGGAGTTCAAGACCAGCCTGGCCAACACAGTGAAACCCTGTCTCTACTAAAAATACAAAAATTAGCCAGGCATGGTGGCACGTGCCTGTAGTCCCAACTACTTGGGAGGCTGAGGCAAGAGAATCGCTTGAACCCGGGAGGTGGAAGTTGCAGTGAGCTGAGATTACACCAATGCACTCCAGCCTAGGCGACAAAGTAAGATCTTGTCTCCAAAAAAAAAAGGCCAAGGAAGGATTATAAAAGACTAAAAAGACACACAATCAAAATGTGACATATGATTCTGAATTGGACTCTGAACTATATAAGATACTGAACTTAAATTACTATATACTATTAATGTATAGATCTTATTACTTAATAGTTTTCAATATTATCAGGACAACTGACAAAAATCTGAGTAAGATCTGTACATTACCAGTATTGTTGTAATCCCATCACTCTGGGAGGCCAAGGTGGGCAGATCACCTGAGGTCAGGAGTTTGAGACCAGCCTGGCCAACACAGTGAAACCCCATCTCTACTAAAAATACAAAAATTAGCTGGGAGTGGTGGCGCATGCCTATAGTCCCAGTCACTTGGGAGGCTGAGGCAGGAGAATCGTTTGAATCCGGGAGGCGGAGGTTGTGGTGAGCCAAGATCACACCACTGCACTCCAGGCTGGGCAACAGACTGAGACTCCATCTCAAAAAAAACAAAACAAACAACAACAACAACAAAAACAGTACTGTATCTAAGTAAAATTTTCTCATTTAAATAATTATACTATGATTATGTAAGTGAATGTATTGATTATTAGGAAATATACACTGAAGTCTTTAGGAGTAAGAGGCTATTGCCTATAACTTACTCTCCAATGGTCCAGAAAAAAAAATGTGTTATATATAGAAAGAATGAATGATAAAGCAAATGTGACAAAAGTAACAACTGGTGAATCTGAGTGAAGAGCATATAAGAATTCTCTATATAATTCTTGCAACTTTTATTTTTTATTTTGAGACAAGATCTTACCCTGTTGCCCAGGCTGGAGTGGGGAGGCATGATTAGGGCTCACTGCAGCCTCCACCTCCTGGGCTCAAGCAATCTTCCCACCTCAGCCTCCCCACTAGCTGGGACTACAGGTACATGCCACCATGACAGGTTAACCTTTTGTATTTTTTGTAGAGACAGGTCTCCCTATGTTGCCCAGGCTGGTCTCGAACTCCTGGACTCAAGTGATCCTCCCACCTTGGCCTCCCAAAGGCTGGGATTATGCTTGGCCTTTTTGTAACTTTTCTGTAAGTCTGAAATTATTTCAAAATGAAAAGTTAAACAAGAGGTATCAACTACTCATTTTCCCTTTTTACTAAATTGCACCAAGCTGGTGTGCTTCTGCAAGCTTCCTTACCACTGTTTCTTCTTGCTGTTGTCATTAACTCCAGCTGCCTCTGGTTTTCATGTCTATTTTACACCAAACTGTCAGAAAAGAGGCCCAGGCAGGGCTGAAAGCTTTTACCACACAGTAAATGGCATGAGATTTGTGACAGCTAAATTACTCTTCAGAACAGCTTTCTACTATTTTAAGGTTAGCAACAATCAGTAACTCTAAATCTCTTATAAAGCTCTGTGAATACATTTTGCTTTCACATTACCATTTCCATCATCTCTGGATCTTCAAAATCATAAATAATATGTTCTAAAATATCTCTGTCAGACACAAAACCTAATGCTCTGAACACAATAATGATGGGAACTTCTTGCTTGATATATGGTAGAGTTGCCACAATGCGCTGACCAATAGCACTCTTTTTTGCACCCTAGAAAAATAAACTATCATTAGAACATGAATACACAAAAGCTCACAGCAATAGAAAAACATCAAGAGAACTATTTAATATATATATGTATTCTTTGTGCATATTTCAAAAGAAGTATGCCTCCCAATACTGTGAGGAACCTGCTATGAATGCATTTCAAAACCACTGAAACAAGTGTACTAATTTTTTTACACACAGGCTGGTCACAGACCTGGAGAACTTCCGTTCTTTCCTATCTGCCTGCCAAGATTCTCTCAGAATTACTCAATACTGTATTTGGAAATCACTTCTGGCTGCAAAAAAATATGAATACTGATTCCTCACCCTCCCCAACCTATCCCCCCTCCAAAAAAAATTAAACCTGTGGAAGAAAGAAATATATAAGAGGTAAAAAAAGAGACAATATGGATAGACAAATATGGAAAAAAAGCTAAGCACACAATGAAAAATAAACATTAAATCAGAGCTGGTCTGTGAGGCATTGCCTTGTTTCAATGTTTCAAAACTAATAGCCCTTTCACACAGCTTCTTTTTTCCAATTTCTCCCTCTTTAATTGTACACACCTAAAAAACCAATTAAAAGTTACTAACCTATGACACACCTGATTTCTCAGTTTTAATCATATTTGTTTGCTTCAATATCAATTTCACTCTATCTTCCCTTGGCCTCACAACCCTACATTATTATAATCCCTCTAATAACTTCCGTCATCTTCCTCCTCCCACCTCAGGCCTCCTTCAGAACTCCTCTCATGGGCATGTTCAGTAACAGCTTTTCATAAATGACACCCAAATCTTCATCTTGATCTTTTTCCTGTACCCTCAGCCCCCATATCTCCAATTGCCAATTCGTTGTTTCTATGTGGACATCAATTATTCCATTTAGTCTATTATTTGTTTCATCATGGATCTTATTTCAGAACAAGCAGAACATTAAAAAATAATATAGCTGGGCATAGTGGCTCATGCATGTAATCCCGGCACTTTGGGAGGCCAAGGTGGGAGGATTGCCTGAGCCCAGCATTTCAAGACCAGCCTGGGCAACATAGTGGGACCTCATCTTTATAAATATTTTTAAAATTTTAGGCCGGGCACGATGGCTCACAGGCTGGGTGCAGTGGCTCACACCTGTAATCCCAGCACTTTGGAAGGCCAAGGCGGGCAGATCACCAGAGGCTGGGAGTTCGAGATCAGCCTGGCTAACATGGTGAAACCCCGTCTCTACTAAATATACAAAATTAGCTGGGCATGGTGGCACACACCTGTAATCCCAGCTACTCAGCAGGCTGAGGCAGGAGAATCGCTTGAACCTGGGAGGCGGAGGTTTCAGCGAGCTGGGATCGAGCCACTGCACTCCAGACTTGGTCTCCAAAAAAAAAATTTTTTTTAAAGAAAAAAATCATAATGTCTACAACATGCACTCCCCAAAAATCTTATCTAAAACTGAACTTATTATATTCTCTCCTAAATCAATTACTCGAAGTTCACCACTCTCCTGGAACCTCAGAATACAAACCATAGTATCTTAACTGACTCATCCTTTTATTTATCAAACTCACCATCAAATCCAGATCATTTTCCATTCTCTGCCTCCAATTAATTCATTTTGTTCAGAGTTGCCATGATAGTCTCCCTAATATACTGTTTGTGTCTTGGCCCTCCATCATCCAGGCCGATGCCTCTCAACAAAGAATGCACATCACAATCACCTGGGGACCTCTTTCAAATACTTGTACCTGGGCCCCATTCCAGCCCCATTCCCACCATTGAACTTGGAAGAGTCGTAGGTTATTGATGTGAACCTTTAGTTAAGATCCACTAATCCAGATCCACCCTAATCACCTACTTGTCATTCACTATTCAACATACTCCATTCAGCTCAATCAGAGTTATCTTCCAGTGATTCTCCAAACACTCATCCCCACTCTCCTCTAATAAGAAAGTCCTTCCAGTTTCTCTCTGCTTATATAACTCCACACCACCTTTCAAAGTGTAAGTCAAGTCCACTCTTCTCTATTAAGTTTCATGAACAGGTCAGGGGCAGTGGCTCATGCCAGCACTTTGGAAGGCCAAGACAGGCGCGTCACTTGAGCTCAGGAGTTCGAGACCAACCTAAGCAACATAGTGAAACCCTGTCTCTACTAAAAATACAAAAATTAGCCAGGTGTGGTGGGACAGGCCTATAATCTAACTACTTGGGAGGCTGAGGCACGAGAATCACTTGAGCCAGGAGGTGGAGGTTGCACTGAGCCAAGATCGTGCCACTGCACTCCAGCCTAGGCAACAGAGTGAGACTCTGTCTCAAAACAAACAAACAAACAAAAAAAAAACGTTGCATGGACCACACCATACTAGTATCTCATTCTCCTCCAAATTTCTATAAAACTAATATATGTAATAGGTGTCATTTGGCCTCTGCACTGTGTTACTATCATTTAATGCCTAAAGCTTGTATTCCCAAAAAACCATTACTTTCTGTTTTTTCTTTCTTTTTTTTTTTTTTTTTTTGAGACAGGGTCTGGCTCTGTCACCCATGCTGGAGTGCAGTGGCGCCAATCTGGGCTCACTGCAACCTCAGCACTCAAGCTATCTTCCCACCTCAGCTTCTTGAATAACTGGGACTACAGGCGCCTGCCACCACATCCAGCTAATTTTGGGGTTTTTGTTGTTGTTTTGCTAGAGAAAGTGTTTTGCCATGTTGCCCAAGCTGGTCTCACATCCCGGGCTCAAGCAATCCACCCACCTCAGCCTCCCAAAGTGCTGGGATTACAGGCATGAGCCACCACACCTAGCCACCTTCTCAATAAGGATTGTGTGTTTTGATGATCTCTTACAATACCCAGCAATGTTGTGCACAGGGGAAGAATGCTTACCTTACAAATTTTATTTTTTACAAATAAAATATTATTAAAAACATGCTAAGTACCCTAATTTCATTAAGTACCCTAGTATCATTATACATTGTATACATGTATCAAAACATCACACTGCATCCCACACATGCATAATTATTAAATTAAATTGAAAATAAAGCTTTTTAAAAAAATTACAAAAAACAAATGGAAACACCAGTTACCAAAAACCATTCACAAATAAAAACCATTTTAATTATTTAAAACTCCTGGCCAGGCACGGTAGCTCATGCTTGTAATCCCAGGACTTTGGGAGGCCAAGGAGGGCAGATCACAAGGTCAGGAGATCGAGACCATCCTGAACCAACATGGTGAAACCCTATCTCTTCTAAAAAACACGAAAAATTAGCCGGGTGTGGTGGTGTGCGCCTGTAGTCACAGCTACTCAGGAGGCTGAGGCAGGGGAATGACTTGAACTAGGGAGGCGTAGGTTGCAGTGAGCTAAGCTCATGTCACTGTACTGCAGCCTGGCGACAGGGCAAGACTGTCTCAAAGAAAAAAGAAAACAGATATGTATACGTATACATATACACATATACACACACACACACACACGAACTGAAATAGAGGTTTTCCAAGATAGCTGTAAAGATTAAATCAAGCAATCTGAGTAAGAGAATTGGCATACAGCAAATATTTAAGAACTGCTAGCTACTACTAGATTCCATTATTATAAGCAACCTATGCTTATAACTATACCAGTGGTCTGCAACTTCTAAGCTGGTACCCAATGATTCCTGCCTCCTACTATTGCCCTTGTAATATCCTCCTCACAGTGTGAGCTGGACATACTGACTTGCAACTAACAAAAAGAACATGGCAAAAATGACAGAATGTTGCTACAACTTTAAAGTTATAAAAGACTGCTTTCTACCTTGCTCGTTCTCTCTCTCTCTATAGCTCTTTTTGCTTACTCTCTCTAAAGAAGCAAGCTGCTCTGCTGCTGTCAGCTGCTATACGCAGAGGTCCACATGGCAAGGAACTAAGAAAGGCTTCCAGCCGACAGCGCGCAAAAACCTGAGACTCAGTCCAATAGTCAATCAAGAACTAAATCCTGCAGACAACCATGTGAATGGCTCTTGAGATGACGGCAGCCCAGGGAAACATCTGATTGCAGCCTTGTGAGAGATGCTTGGCCAAAAGACTCAGCTAAGCAGCACCCAGATTCCTGACTCACAGAAGCCGTGAGATGATAAATGTTGCTGGAAGAGTAATTTGTCACACAGCGATAGGTAAACGATACAATACATAACAACAATATTGCTCCAGAAAAGCTTTTTTGGACCGAGAATGCAGTCTAGTGAATTTTAAAACAAGGCACAAAGGAATAAACCCAAATAACATCATATCCAGTCCATACCTGTCCTCCTCTTGCCAGCATGCTAACCCATATAGTACTGGTGGGTCGCGAAGAATTCTCCAGACATGACCTACACTCTCCTGTGTAGGCATATTTAGAGTCCTTTTTGGCAAACACATAAACTGTGTTTGTTGCCATTTTCTCTTGGGCAATCAGAACCTATTTGGACAATAAGAAGGTTATAGCCATAAAATCCAAAAGGTCACTGAAGAGAAAAGAGAGTAAAATCTGCATCTTAATTTAATCTGATCATATAGGCTCACTGAAATATTTAATTCTTCAACTTTAAAAACTCCATTTTGCATAAACACTTCATAGAAATACATAAGCTCCAAAACCGACTGAAACTGACCAAATTTCCAGTGCATATTATATACAACTAAATAAAGTTTTGCTTTATATAAGTTTAGCTGTCATACCCTAAATAAGCCAACTGTCACTGCCAGGTTATCCTGCATGAAAATCTTTTTTTTTTTTTTTATTTCAACTTTAAACTAAATTTTAACTACGATTTTGTCATTTTTTAAAATAATGTTACTATACCTTTTCTGATCCATTAATAATGAAATAGCCACCAGGATCCAAAGGGCATTCATTTAACTCACAAAGATCACGATCTGTCAAGCCATTCAAAAGGCAGTAAGTTGACCGCAACATAATTGGAATTTTTCCTATAAAAGTTTTCTGATGCTGAGTCTGAAGTTGTTCTTCACCTTCTTTAATGACTGTTTTTGTTATATCAACATAAAGCGGAGCAGAATACCTTTGAAGATAAAAGTAGATCACACTTAAGCAATAGGTTATCTGTTAAACCCTCAAGTGGTTAAAATTACATTTTCAGAATTCTATTTCAGTATCTGCTGCTGACAAGGAAAACTTTTTTCTTACGTGAGATTTCTTAATCTAGCTTCATTGGGCATCATTGGTGAAGGAGCACCATCTCTTTCCCAGTGGGTAGGCTTGGAAAGATAAATTTGTTCAAACTTCAGCAAATATCTTGGCTGAAATTAAACAAAAAAACATGAAAAGAGTAAATAATTTTTTCCATAAAAGTTTTAATGATTCCATTTTAATTGACATTAACATTTTAAGTAGAAGCAGCTCTACAAACTGGCAAAATTAATCCATTTTACTGAAATGGGGACTTCTCAAAGTCAATATCCATACCGCACAGATGTCAAGTTTTAAACCATATCACTTTCTCTTTTTTCCTCTTTTCTTAAAAATTTATTTTCACATTAGACAGGTAATGTGCTAACAAGGTTTGTAACAAGGTTTAAGGAAGGCACATCTCACACCTAATCATCACACTTATCAACTACAAAAGGATCTGCTAATTGCTTTCTTAAGGCAGAAGACAAAAAGAGACTTAATATACTAAAAGTAAACAAAGACTGTACACATCATGTGCTGAGTTTATATCAGTTAAAATGGACTTACATTAATGATCTACATAGTTTCTTGTGCCCTCTCCTTGGTAAGCGTCATCAAAAATACAAAGTGACCAGAGAACAAAGATAGCAAATCCAGACAACTAGAACTGTGCTCTAATCTAATCAATAGAACATTTTTAAAAATAAACCTAACTCTTCAATTAAACATACAAATTAATCTGTCAAACAAGTAAACAAAAGAAAAAAATTTTATTTTAAAAAACACAAAAAATATCCTAAACATTCTATATAAAGGGCTGAGAACTTCCAACCCCGGCTGGAATATAGCTTAGTCCATAGCAAAAAAAGAAATTTTTCAATTAAACATTCACTTGCTGCCTAATAAAACAAGATCCATGAGGACAACTTTCTACAGATAAATGGATAGTGTACTTTTCTCTAAATCAAGTCTCAGAGAAGAAAATAGAACTGAGCAGATGTTTTACTAATGATTAATTATTGATACTCAAGTCTCCCAAGCTGGGGTAGACAAAGGGCAAAGAGAGCGGTGGTGATAATGAACCAAAGGGAAGCCAACCCTCTACTCCTTATCTGTGCCATCATCTAGTCTAGGTCATTACTATCTTAATCATAGGCTATTCTGATTTTTATCTCCTCCAGCCTCTTTTGTTTTGTTTTGTTTGAGATAGGGTCTCACTCTGTCACCCAGGCTGGAGTGCAGTGGTGTGATCTAGGGTCACTGCAGCCTCCGCCTCCTGGGTTCAAGTGATTCCCCTGCCTCAGCCTCCCGAGTAGCTGGGACTACAGGCGCGCGCCACCAGACCCAGTTAATTTTTGTATTTTTTTGGTAGAGATGGGGTTTCACCATGCTGGCCAGGACGGTCTCGAACTCCTGGCCTCAAGAGATCTTCCTGCCTAGGCCTCCCAAAGTGCTGGGATTACAGGCGTGAGCCACTGCACCAGGCCTCCTCTAGCCTCTTTCTATTCCAAGTAAGCATCGCTTTCGAAAGTAACTTTTCTAAAATAATGCTTTATGTACATTCTTTGACAGTCTCTCAGTAATTCCTCATAACATCCAATGACATTCAAAGCTTTCCACAACCGGGTTCCATCTTATCTTCCTAATGCCTAGTAAAAATGGATAAGCCCTGTAATTCCAGCACTTTGGGAGGCGGAGGCAGGCAGATCATGAGGTCGGGAGATCGAGACCATCCTGGCTAACACCGCGAAACCCTGTCTCTACTAAAAATACAAAAAAATTAGCCGGGCGTGGTGGCAGGCGCCTGTAGTCCCAGCTACTCGGAAAGTTGAGGCAGGAGAATGGCGTGAACCCGTAAGGCGGAGCTTGCAGTGAGCCAAGATCGCGCCACTGCACTCTAGTCTGGGCAATACGGCCAGACTCCGCCTCAAAAAAAAAAAAAAATAGATAAGCCAAAATCACATACTGATCATTGTGGTCCCCATCCCATCCCCAGCCTAAATATACCAGGTATTTTCTTTTTTTTTTTTTCTTTCTTTTTTTTTTTTGAGACAGCGTCTCGCCCTGTCACCCAAGCTGGAGTGCAGTGGCTGCGATCTCAACTCGCTGCAACCTCCGTCTCCCACGTTCAAGCAATTCTCCTGTCTCAGCCTCCCGAGTAGCTGGGACTACAGGTGCCGACCACCACGCCTGGCTAATTTTTGTACTTTATTAGTAGAAAGCGGGTTTCACCATATTGGCCAGGCTGGTCTCAAACTCCTGACCTCGGGTCATCTGCCGACCTCGGGTGATCTGCCCGCCTCGGCCTCCCAAAGAGCTGAAATTCTAGGTATGAGCCACCACGCCGGCGACGCCAAATATTTCCTTGCTGAAATGACTAAGCACCTTTTCTCTTCTAAGAGAACTCCTATCTGTTATTCGCAGTAAATTTAAGTCTCTTCCATCTTTTCTACTAAGCTCTGATAACTAAGCCTCAGAGATCTCCTCCTCCTTTAGTACTTCCATTACTGGCACATTGAATTTGCTACGTTCTATTGTTATTTCGCTTGTTATACAAAGATCATGAAGAAAAAATGACCCAACAAGCCAAGTGCAATGGCTCATGCCTGTAATCCCAGCACTCTGGGAGGCTGAAGGGGGTGGATCACTTGAGGTCAGGAGTTGGAGATCAGCCTGGCCAACATGTGAAACCCTGTCTCTACTAAAAATACAAAAAAATTAGCCAAGCATGGTGGTGGGCGCCTGTCATCCCTGTAAAAAAGAAAATATGACCCAAGAATAAAAAAGAAACTTAATGTCCCCCTTTCCAGTAGAGCCCTAGAAGAGCCAATCGCTTTCGTTCTTAATAGCAAAATTCCGTACAGCATGTCCAACTAAAATGGAAATAACAGACCAGCCCTTAGGAGATCAGCTACACAGAAGAGAAACTGATCAGGCTAGAAACAATGGACTCTCCCTGTGTCTAACTCTTTTTGGGGGGCTTTCCCTACCTCACTTTGTTTTTCAGTTTTCCCTGTCTCTCAAAGCTCAATATGTTCCAACAACTGCCTCTCAACTTCTCTAAAACTAGGACAGTCATTATTTTGGACTACATATTTATTTATAATCACTCATATAAAACCAAATTATAAAATTATACCCTTGGTATGATTTTAACAATGCTAAAAAACATGCATATATGTGAGCAAAAGCTGTAAGAAGCTTAATAAAGATAGCTGATATGTTTGGGTGATTTACCTTTCTTACCTCATATGGTTATAATAGTGTACTTCATGCAATATATAAAATCAGACGAAAATTCCTTCAAACATTTTTTATCATTTTTATAATGTGAGAGAAAAAAGTAGGGTTATCTATCTAAAGCAACGTGACTATCTCTGGCTCACTTCTCTTATTTGTTCATATTTCAGAGTCCTCTCTTCCCAACTATTCAATACCTACTATGTGAATAAGGATGGGATTACTTGAAAAAAAAAATACACCTCCTCATTAGAGAGAATAAATCAGAAAGTGACTGACGGTGCTATAAGTACTTTGCTAAAAGCTCCAACTGACTTTTTTTAACCTTTAAGTCAGTTAACAGAAGGGCTGAAATTTCAAACCAATACTCTTCTTGTACCGGTGTAACTATTAGAACTAACCATCTTACCGGTTCTTCAACTTCTCCACTAGCATGCTGAGCTTCAGCTTGTAGGTCTATAGGAGGAGCGTCTTCCACAATTCTTTGAACAGACATCTGAATAAACTCATCAAAAGAATCCAGCTGTTGTCTGACCAAGCCTTTCTCGTCAAAATAGGAACTGGGAAAATATTTGAGTTCAGTCAGTTGCAACTCAGTGATAATTTCTAGCATAATTCCCCATTTTCATTATAATCAATTCAACAGTCATTAAATACCAACCATTATATGTCAACCACTAAACAAGATACTGTGATCTATCTTAAAAAGGATGAAACCAGGCATATTTTCTTTGTAGAACTTATTATTTGGGGAAAAGCAGCTTATATTTGTGGGTAAAATACTTAAAGCACAATATAAGAACTATAAGGATCCCAGCTCCTGGAAGGCCAAGGCAGGAGCATTGCTTGAGTTCAGCCTGGGCAACGTAATGAGACCTCATTTCTACAAATAAAAAAATTAGCCAGGTATGGTGGCATGTGCCTACAGGCCCACATACTCAAGAGGCTGAGGTAGGGGGATCATGTGAGCCCAGAGTTTGAGGCTGCATTGAGTCATGATGGCATCATTACACTCTAGCCTGGGAGACAGCAAGACCCCATCTCAAAGAAAAAAAAAACTGTATGTCCTCTATGGACAAATTTTATTCTACCTCTTTGAAATATTTCTTGAAAAATGAGTCAGGAGATAAAACTAAAGAAAAATCAATAGCCAAAGATAATAAGAACTTTGATTTGAATAGGAGGGGGGGTAGTGATATCAATGACTAAAATAATGCGTGAGAATACCAACTTTAGGTTACCAATCATTAGTTCTATTTTGAATTGTTAAAGGTGGGATAAGAAGAGTAAGTCTTTACATAAAAATACTCAGCAAAAGACTGGTGATAAAAATGTAGCATGGCTGAGAGATCTATAATCTAAAGAGTAGACATTATTTTTATAAGGAACAGATACTTTTCAGGTGAGGGGTGTGGAAAGACATAAAGATACAAGTAGATACAAGTGCAAGAGGATCTCAACAGATCACTCCCTATTACCATCCAGGAATAGCCACAAAGCTGGGCTTCACAGAGGCTGGAGGATCTAGCACAACCCTCAAGATTATCCCATCACCCCTCAGCAGTAGGAAGTGCCCCACCACACCTCCCCATCTCCACTCCTGTATCTTGTGACCTCTGTCATCTTGCATCTGTGAGACTTTCTTAGCTTCTGCTCCCCAACTACTGACTCCCCCATCTTCACATCAATTTTCTGAGACAATATGCAGAGTCCAACTAATCATCAGCCTCCCATTTTGGCTTCATCAGGTCACCTCACACATCAGTGACAGGCCAACAAATCGGGCCCACCCTGATCCAGTCAAGTATGGCCACCACTATTAGAAGTTAGGTTCTATGGTAGAAAACACAGCAGACAACCATACATGTGTCAGGTATGAACTAAATAATAGTTGAGGCAATTTATTTCAGTAGAGACTGTCACATATTAGGAAAGAAATTTCTCAAAACCATGTGGATTAGTCATTGATGTGTAAGAAAAACATGGCATTGCCTGTAATATAAATAGCAATGGTTTTTTATAGGCAATTTAAGAGGAAATAGCTTCTAAACTATAGATAAGTTTCATTACCCCAGGAAGCTGAACTATACCTACTTTCCCCAAAATCATTAGATTGGTGCTTAAACATCTAAACTATATAAATATTTCATATTTATATCTACTCTAGTGCTTATTTTACCTGAAGTCATCGTATACAGTTACTTGTGATATTAACTAATATCACATTCACATTGCTAGGTAAAGATCACTTGATATTGAAAAGTAAAAAAAAAAATCAAAATTCATTTCTCAATAACCAAAGTATCTACAGTCAATTTAAACTTAAAAATCAAATAACTTATTTTGTAACAAATGATAAATGCTATGACAGTTCACAATAGAGTACTTTATCCTTGAGCAATCTACCACATATGTTGAAAACAACTTCTTCTTCTAAGATAAAATATTTTTTCTACTAGAAGAATGTAGAATATAGGCACACTCCACAGAACATCTACCTGTACCTCTTGGTGTTTAACACCCAAACATCACAGAAGATGTAACTGTCTCAATAAAGTTTTGTCTTCTACAGCCAATTTGTTTTATTTTTGGTATTTATAAAAGGCTCCAAGACAATGCTTCATTCTAGCTATAGGTGGCAAAAGATAGTACGGCAGAAAATACAGATGTTTAAATACAAATGGAGCCAAAGGTTACCATCACCTCAGGCACAAAGAAAAGCTGACTTTTTGCCAGATTTCTTTTATTCTTTGTTTTTAAAAAAAAAAAAAGAGAGAGAGAGAGATAGGGTCTGGCTATGTTGCACAGGCTGGTCTCAAACTCCTGAGCTCAAGTGATCCACCCGCCTCAGCCTCCCAAAGTGTTGGGATTACGGGCAGGCGTGAGCCACCTCGTCAAGCCTTTTTGCCAAATGTCTTAATTCCACCTGTGGCCAGGGGCCCTTTCCCCACAGCCTTCAATTTTAAAGCTTTTTCTGCTCCTCTTTTTGCTTCTGCTGGAAAGCTGTGTCTTCCTCATCCATCTCCTTGGCCTGCTTCTTCGGCTGTTTCACGGGCTTCTTGCCACCTCTGCAACCAAACGTGGCAACTGCTGCCCCTGCCCCTTCTCCAAACCCTGCCACCAGAAACAGAGCTCCCATTCTCACCCCCACTCCTTATGGAAAAATATATACTTATATCCCAAAAACTCAATTTTTTTTATTATTATTTATTTTTAGAGACAAGGTCTCACTATGTTACCCAGGCAACACTCAAACTCGTGAGCTCAAGTGATCCTTCTGCCTCAGCCTCCCAGGTAGCTGGGACTATACAGGCACACACCACAGCACCTAGCTTTCAATACTTTCTTTTGTAAGATTCTGGACAAACACACTGACTCATATCTTTTTTGTTTTTTGAGACGGAGTCTCGCTCTGCCGCCCAGGCTGGAGTGTAGTGACGTCATGTCACCTAACTGCAAACTCTGCCTCCCAGGTTCAGGTGATTCTCCTGCCTCAGCCTCCCAAGTAGTTGGGATTACAGGCGTGCACCACTAACACTCATCTAATTTTTTTATTTTTTAGTAAAGACAGAGCTTCACCATGTTGGCTAGGCTGGTTCCAACTCCTGACCTTAAGTGATCTGCCTGCCTCAGCATCCCAAAGTGCTGGGATTACAGGCAAAACAATATCTTTCTAACAAAACAACATTCAAGAAAGGTATTCAGTTAGACTCCAAATACAACTGGCAGAATGTCGGAAGCATGTGTTCTTTGAAAAGAGAGAATGTTGACCAAGGGGTCATGCACCTTGGAGCTGATGGGGCTCAGAGAGGCATCCATCGTCATGTTGTTGTATATAAAGCAGCGGTCAGGGGATGAGAGAAGAGTTATAAGCCTTTAACATCCTAACATAACAGGATGTTACTTTATCACTTATAAGTTACTTTTCTTACCTATACAAGGCTTCTCAGAATTTTATCACATTTAGTTACACTTAGAATTGGATAGGAATTTGCAGTGAATTTTAACAAATTTGTTTTTAACAAAGTTAAAAACCAATTTTAACTTTGTCTATTTAAAATAATGAGAAAACCAAGCAATCAAATTAACATTACTAGTAACGAAACAAACGTGCCTCCTGATATGATGCACTGAGACTATGTCACTTCTGCCAAAAGTAAGCATCTGAATCCAATTATGAGAACTATTAGACAAACCTAACTGAAAGGCATCCTAAAAAGTAACTGGCATGTATTCTTCAAAAATGTCAAGGTACAAAAAAAAAGAACAGACACACTGAGGAACTGTTCCAGATTAAAGGAAATGGAAGAATATGCCATGACAACTAAATCCAGTATGTGATCCTAGGCTGGATCCAGGGTCAGAAAAATTTTTATTTTGCTATAAACATGAGTGGAACAACTGGCAAAATGTGGGTTGGGTCTACAGATTAAATAAGATCACCATAATTGTGATGATGTAAAAGAATGTCCTTATGTCTGCAAGTTACTCTTTTTTTTGTTTTTTGGAAACAGGGTCTCACTCTGTCATCAAGGCTGGAGTACGGCAGTGCGATCTTGGCTCACTGTAGCCTCAACCTCCCAGGATCAAGTGATCTGCAAGTTATTCTCACATGTTTCAGAAAAAAAATATGTACCAAAAGAAGAAAAGACAAAGAAATGTAGTATGGGGTAACATTTTCGGAATCTGGGTGAAGTGATTAAATGAATTCTTTGTGTTAATTTTTAGGTCTGAATTACTTAAAATGTTAAATATATAAATAAAGTAACTACTGTCACGTAGCACATTTATATAGAACAGCTATTTATCAAGAAGACTAAGCAGGAAATCTACAGTGCCTTTTCAAGCTAACTCAGTTTGGTCCAAAGTTACCTAATTACAATCCAGCATGCTTCTTGCCACAAATCCGGGGTGATTTCATCATCATCCTCATCATATTGCATATCTGTAAAAACAAAATATTGTACTCATTTGCAATGAGATGCCACTTAGTTAACATCTTGCTCCTGTAACTTTAAGTAGCAGAAACATATTTACTTTCTGCTGAATAAGTAATGCTTTCACCCCAGGTTCTCTAAAATTTCAATTACATTAATAAAATAATTTATGTCTATGTCACACAGGTATTCTTCCAATATACGAAGAGGTTTATTAGAGAGTTGTAATGTAAGTTGTATGAATTTTAAGTTTCCCATTTTATTGATCAGTAAGATTTTCAGAGACTAGAGTAAGAGACAGAATGAGGGGGCAGAGCCATGGAAGGATTCCAACAGCTGGGCAACACCCTGAGGTGGGGCGATCTATTACAGCAACATTTCATACATGTACAGGTATGAAAGATTACATTTTCCAAAGATGGCCACTAGCCTATCTCCCATCCCACATGGCCTTCTATAATGTGATCTTGACACTCCCATCATAAGATATAGTGGTCTATGCACCCTCTCCTTGAATCAGGTAGATTCTGACTCTCCTGTAACTTAAGAGAATGCCGCTGAAGCAATGCTGCATGACTTCAGAAGCCAGGTCAGAAAAGGCAATGAAGTTTCTGTCATGTTTGCTAAAACACTTTCTGGAGCCCTAAGCTGTCATTAAAAAGTAGTGATGGCTCAGGCCTATAATAATCCTAGCACTTTGGGAGGCCAAGGTGGGTGGATCACCTGAGGTCAGGAGTTCGAGACCAGCCAGGCCAATATGGCAAAACTCCGTTTCTACTAAAAAATACAAAAATTAGCCGGGCATGGTGGCACATGCCTGTAATCCCAGCCACTCAGCAGGCTGAGGCAAGAGAATTGCTTGAACCCAGGAGATAGAGGTTGCAGTGAGCTGAGACTGCACCACTGCACTCCAGCCTGGGCAACAGAGAGAGTCTCTGTCTCAAAAATTTAAATTAAAAAAAAAAATTTTTTTTTTTAAGTCATACACTATTCTGAGGCTGCTACATTCTGAGAAAGCCCAAACCATAAGGAGAGGTCACTTACAGATGCTCCATTAGCAATTTTAGTCCTTGAGTCCTCCCAAGCTACGTCTCATGTCAGACATGAGAGTCAACACTACAGATCATCTCTCACCCCGCTGTCAACACTCGGCCTTAATGTCTTCCCAAATGAACCAGAGTCACGGTGGAAGGCAGGCAAGTCCTGTCCAAATTCCTGACCCACAGTATCCATGAACATAACAAAATAATTTTTTAAGTAGCTAAATTTTCGGGTAGTTATGCAACAGTAATTTAAATATGCATTCAAAAAAATCAGTATGCACTGGTCCTCTAATATTAATCCCATCATCTTATGTGAAAGAATAAGTGTGCTGTATTTTTGGTTTTTATTCTAATGTACACATACATAGCCTGTAAAACTTTGGGTTCAAAATTTGATACATATACAAAATAAATTTTTAATGAACCCTTCTTAAATGGACTGGAATTATTAATCCCTATACCTGGGGGAAGGGTAAGAAAGACAAAGTTATCTATAATAGCTCAGAGATTTCCAGCTTTGATGAGAGATTAAAAGTTAGTATCACTGCCATACCAGAGAAGCAAGTAAGATGGTGGAAAAAGGAGAGGTAATGAGATCGGCTTTAGAGATATCTACAGATCACATATCCCTTCAAATACTTCTAGTAGGCACATATATACGAATATAAACTCAAATGAAGAGTCTAAAATACAGACAACATGTAACACACAATAGATACACATTGGCATATAACACATGTGTATCTGTGTCAATAAAATAAACATTTTAAAATTTGGAAAAAAAAGTACAGAGTTGGAATCATTAACAAATGCGTGGGAGAAAAATGAGATTGTACATAGAGAAGGAAGACTGAAGGCAGGATATCTGGGAACAACTTTGAGAGTCATATGAAGGAAAATGAACCCATGAAAGAGACTCATTTATTCAACCACTCATCAAATTTTTTTTGAGGCTAGGTGCACTGGCTCATGCCTATAATCCCAACACTGTGGGAGGCCAAGGCAGGCAGATCACTTGAGACCAGGAGTTCAAGACCAGCCTGGCTAACGTGGAGAAAACCCATCTCTACTAAAAATACAAAAATTAGCCAGGCATGGTGGCACCCGCCTATAGTCCCAGCTACTAGGGAGGCTGAGGCAGGAGAATCGCTTGAACCCAGAAGGTAGAGGTTGCAGTGAGCCAAGATCATGCCACCGCACTCCAGCCTGGGTGACAAGAGTGTGACTCTGTCTCAAAAAAAAAAAAAAAAAAGTGATATGAATATTCCTGACAAAGACCTGAAGAGGTTAGGGAAGACTTCCCAAAAGCTGCGCAGAGGCCAGGTGCAGTAGCTCATGTCAGTAATCCCACCACTGGAAGGCCAAGGTGGCAGGCACACTTGAAACCAGGAGTTCGAGACTAGCCTGAGCCACAAAGCGAGACCCCCGTCTCTAAAATTGTCTTTAAAAAGCTGGTCAGGCACAGTGACTCACGCCTGTAATCCCAGCACTTTGGGAATCCGAGGCAGATGGATCACGAGGTCAGGAGTTTGAGACCAGCCTGGCCAGCACGGTGAAACCCGTCTCTACTAAAAATACAAAAATTAGATAGGCATGGTGGAGCACGCCTGTAATCCCTGCTACTCAGGAGGCTGAAGCAAAGAATCACTTGAACCTGGGAGGCGGAGGTTGCAGTGAGCCAAGATCGCACCACTGCACTCCAGCCTGGGCCGACAAAGGGAAACTCCATCTCAAAAAAAAAAAAAAGCTGAGCAGAGACCTCATGTTATAAACAGGAGTAATCAGGCAAAAAGGAAGGGAAAAAGGTAGGAGGAGTCAAGAAAGAACCCTACCGAATAGAAAAAACCAAATTGTGCAAAAGACCCCATAATGCAAGATAGGATGGCATATTCAAAGAATGACAGAAGGTCAATGTAGCGGAAGCGCAGAGTGTGAAGTTGGAAGTGGAATAAGAAGAGTTTGGCCTTTATCAAGAGATTTGAGTTTAGCAGGGTTGTGGCTAGGTCACATTTTCGTTTCTGAAAGATCCCTATGGCCAGTGTGGAGAATGGATTGGAAGTACACAAATCAGTTAGGAGTAATCTAGGCAAGGGATGGCAGCAACATGAACTAGAATGATGGTGAAGGGGATAGAGAAGTGACCAGATTTGACGTATTTAGGAGACAGAACCAACAGGGCTTGGTGACTGATTAGATATGGAGGTGAAAGAGAGGAGTCAAAAATGATGGCCAGGTTTTTGATTTCAACAACAGAGGGTACAACAGTTGTACCTCAGTGTCCATTGGAGACTGGTTTCAGGACCTCCCATAGATACCAAAACACAGATGCTTAAGTCCCTGACATGAAATGGCACTGTTATATACCCTAGGCACATCCTCCTGTATCCTTTAAATTACCTCTAGATTACTTATAATACCTAATACAATGTAAATGCTATGTAAAGAATTGTTTACTTGTAATGTTTATGGAATAATGACAAGAAAAAAAGTCTGTACATTTTTACAAGGGCACAATTTTTTTCTAATATTCTCTTTTTTGTTGAGACAGGGCCTTACTGTTACCCAGGCTGAAGTGCAGTGGTGTGATCACAGCTCACTGTAGCCTCAAACTCTTAGGGCTCAAGCAATCCTCCCACCTCAGTATCCCAAGTAGCTGGGATCACAGGTACACGCCACCATGCCCAGCTAATTTTTAAATTTTTTTGTAGAGATGAGGTCTCCCTATGTTGCCCAGGCTGGTCTCAAACTCCTGGCCTCAAGCTTTTTAATATTTTCAATCCAAGATTAATTGAATATACAGATGTGAAACCTACAGATACAGAGGGCCAACAGTGCCCTTCACCAAGACAGAGAACACAGGAGGCAGTGACTTTGGGAGGGGAATAGCAAAAGAAAATAATTAGCTCAGTTTGGGCAGTGACAAGGTGAAGTAGCCTGGGAGATATCCTAGTTGGCCAGTGGCAGTTAGATACCAGGGCTTTTAAACTAGAAGTATACATTCAGAAGTCATCCACATACAAATGGTAACTAAACAATGTAAAATGGATGAGATCACCCAAAGAGAATGTGAACAGGAAAGAAAATGAGAACAAAAGTCAGATAAGAAGAATCAAGTGGAAGTGATGTGGCTAGAAAGCTGAGTGAGTTTCCAGGAAGATGTCATCAACAGTTTTGAAGACCACAGGGTTTAGATAAGATTTTTTAAATATCCATCTCATTTATCAATTGAGAAGTCACTGTCAATCTTAGAGCTATCTTAATGCAGTAGCATGAGTAGAAACATATTGTAATCAGTTGAAAAGGACATGAAAGATGAAAATTAGAAACAAGGACAGCTTATTATTTTTATGTTTGGCTGTGAATGAAAGGAGAAAGGTAAAATACTAGAAGAAAAAGGAAAAAATGAAAAGTTTAACTTGTTTCCATGTGGATGACAGAAATCTGACATTTTCACATAGTGGCTGAAAACTGATGAGGACATTATCTAATAAACATTTCAGAGGACATGGGCAAGAATAAAATGTAGGCTCACTGCTAAAGCAACTATGATAAACTCTTTTTTGCACGGGATCATTATACATTGCAAAACTAGTACAAATCACCACTATGGTGGTCACTTGGCATCATCTAGCAAAATGTTAAAGGTGTGTATCATTTGACGTGACAATTTTATATGTAGAAATGCATCCCACAGACATACTTGGGCAAATTATATGTACAAGATTATTCATTTACAGCACTGAACCCGAAAATGACTAGAAATAAATCAAATATCCATCAAGAGACTACTTAAGTTATGGTACATCCACACAAACTAAGTAACTGGCGGAGTGGGCGAAGGGGCGGGGGCGATGCTTTCTGTGTACTGATACAAAAATCTAGATACATTAAGCAAAATCTAAAAGTGGAGAAAAGTGTGAATATTACTTTCTGTCTTTAAAAAAGGAGAAAAATCCCATTTATATTTGCTCAAATATGCATAAAGAAACTGTGGAGGCTGGGCGCAGTAGCTCACACCTGCAGTCCCAGCACTTTGGGAGGCTGAGGCAGGTGAATCACCTGAGGTCAGGAGCTTGAGATCAGCCTGGCCAACGTGGAGAAACCCTGTCTCTACTAAAAATACTAATATTAGCTGGGCATGGTGGTGCACGCCTGTAATCCCAGCTACTAGGGAGGCTGAGGCAGGAGAACTGCTTGAACCTGGGAGACGGAGGTTACAGTGAGCCAAGATTGCACCACTGCACTCAAGCCTGGGCAACAGAGCAAGACTGTCAAAAAAAAAAAAAAAAAAAAAGAAACTGCGGAGTGATTAAAATCTATTGTAACAGTAGTTACCCACTGTGGAGAGTTCAAACTGGGCAGATGGTGGGTAAGAAGGAGACCTGACACTTTAATTTTTTTTTTTTGAGACAGGGTCTCACTTTGTTCTTGGCTCACAGCAGTGTCAACTTCCAAGGCTCAAGCGATCCTCCTGCCTCAGCTCCCCAAGTAGCTGGGACTATAGGTGAGCACCACCACACCCAGCTAATGTTTCCATTTCTTATAGAGAGGGGGTCTCCCCTGTTGCCCAGGCTGGTCTTGAACTGCTGAGCTCAAGCGATCCACCCACCTCAAGCTCCCAAAATGCAGGGATAACATGCGTGAGACACTGTACCAGCCACCCCACTTTAACGTTTTTAAACTTTCTGGCTTGTGAGCTGAGAATGTATTACCTAGCCAAAAATTATGCTTTAAAAAATCTTTTTTTCGAATTTTTCTTCTACTGAGATAACAGTTAAAAAGAACAAGCACTATAATGATGCTAATAAATTTCTAGAACACAAGATATAAATGAGACAGAAGTTTAAACAGCTTTAAAAGTTTAAGTTTTTGGCTGGGCACAGTGGCTTACGCCTGTAATCCCAGCACTTTGGGAGGTTGAGACAGGCAGATGGCTTGAGCTCAGGAGTTTGAGAACAGCCTGAGCAACATGGCCAGACCCTATCTCTCAAAAAAAATTTTTTTAAAAGTTTAAGCTTTTGCTTCAATTTTTTCCATCTCATTTATCAGAAGTAGCTGAGGGAATAAAGAGAGGAGATGTAAGGGGTGGCCAAGGAATTGAGAGCTAGAAGAAAATAAGATTTGCATTAGTAGATATGGAGAATAGAAAAGGCAGCTACGAAAATACACTAGATTCAACTAAGAATTCTGTTTTTTTTTTTTTTTTTTTTTTTTTTTTTCAAGACAAGAGTCTTACTCTGTCATTCAGGCTGTGGTGCAGAGGCGCAATCTCAGCTCACTGCAACCTCTGCCTCCTGGGCTCAAGCGATGTGGCCTCAGCCTCCCGAATAACTGGGATTACAGGCGCGCGCCATCACACTCGGCTAATTTTTGTATTTTTAGTAGATGCGGGATTTCCCCCATGTTGGTCAGGCTGGCCTCAAACGATCTGCACGTCTCGGCCTCCCAAAGTGCTGGTGGGAGCCATCGCGCTCGGCCACTACTAAGAATTCCATATGCGCAAAGAAACAGATATTTATACGTTGGTCCAGTGTAGCAGAATACATATCATCTGAGAACTGTGACATTGTGAGAACTGTGACACTGTGAGAAGAGGAAATTTAAACGCCATCCTTTAAGACAATTTACTTTGACTTACAAACAGCATGAAGAAATGTCAGACTAAACCGAGTCCCCCCACCCTCCCCCCGATATTCTCTGTCCCGATATATTTCCAGGGCCTTCCACACTGCCTGACACAGGCTGACACTCAACACTTCAGCTATTCAGTAAGTCGACTGTGGCTTTAAGGAAAAATTTTAAAGGGTGCTCTTTGCTTCAAATTCAAAACCACGGAATTTATCTTACGGTTCTGCACGCTACTTCACTACAGGAAGCGAGGATCAGATCTAAGGGAACGAGAAAGTGCAGAGCAGCAGTGAACCTAACCGGGAACATTAACGCTGTGTTCCCTGCACCCTCTGCCTCTCCCTACCCCAGTTTCGTTCCCGGCCTGAAAGGTGTGGGAACAAGGCTAGGGACTGTCCGGCCGGCGGGAGGGAAGGCCCCAATCATCAATCCAATCAGTTCCCCAAGCTTCCCTGCTGGACCGCCGTGGCATGTGTTTCACCTACCCTCATCCGCGTCGTACATATTGCCAAACGGTTCCCGAGCTCCTAACTCGAAATCAAAGACAAAAAGCGCGCAGAAGCCACCAGCGCCGGGAGCTAAAGACCAAGTAACTTCCGTCTCCGACGTTCCCAGAATACTGTGCGTCTCACACAAGAGGCCGCCCACAGGGACGCCAAAGTTAGGATCTGCGCCTGCGCAAATTGTAGGGCAAGCTTGGGCGGGAGTTGGGTTGCACACGCGCAAATTGTGGGCCGCCGCTGCCGGTGGCTGATTGAGAGGACAGCTGCCGCAATCTGCTGTCGCATCCGTCCCGTTAATGTTTTATTTCTGCTTGTTTTTCAATGTCGTTGCACAAATAACGACACCTGAAAACAAAGCCAAGTATACTTATTAATAAAAAGTGCTCGTTCTGTGAATCCGCGACATTGGGATGCTCAATTGATTTGCCTTTATAAAGACCAAAACACGAAGCAATTTTTATTTTTATTTGTTTATTATTTTTTGAAATGGAGTCTCGTTCTGTTGCCCAGGCTGGAGTGCAGTGGAGCGATCTCGGCTCACTGCAACCTCCGTCTCCCGGGTTCAAGCGATTCTCCTGCCTCGGCCTCCCAAATAGCTGGGATTACAGGCGCGCGCCACCACGCCCGGCTAATTTTTGTATTTTTAGTAGAGACGGGGTTTCACCACGTTTGCCAGGCTGGTCTCGATCTCAGGTGATCCGCCCGCCTCGGCCTCCCAAGGTGCTGGGATTAGAGGCGAGCTGCCCGCTCGCCTACCGTTCCAGCCACGCGCCCGGCCAGAAGCTCCGTTTTGTTTTGTTTTGTTTTGTTTTGTTTGAGACGGAGTTTCGCTCTGTCGCCCAAGCTTGAGTGCAGTGGCGCGACTTCGGCTCACTGCAAGCTCCGCCTCCCGGGTTCACGCCATTCTCCTGCCTCAGCCTCCTGAGTAGCTGGGACTACAGGCGCCCGCCACCACGCCCGGTTTATTTTTTGTATTTTTAGTAGAGACAGGGTTTCGCCGTCTTAGCCAGGATGGTTTCGATCTCCTAACCTCATGATCCGCCCGCCCCGGCCTCCCAAAGTGCTGGGATCACAGGCGTGAGCCACCGCGCCCGGCCCGGAAGCTCCTTTTTAAATGTGATTTATTACGGGCGGCTTGGGCTAGCAGTGAGGCGTTAAGCCTGAAAGTGAAAAAACTCAAAACGCTCATCGCTCTCCTCTGCCCATCTAGCTCAATCCTCCAGTGCCTCCAATGCCTTTGCTATAGCTTTAAGTAGGTTCTCAGTCTCGGCGCTTAAATCGCGAGAACTCACGAGATTAGACGCAAAACTAACCAGGACAGCTCCCAGGTACCCACTCGCTTTCGTCTCGGTTCTAACACGCGCGTCGCCTCGGGCCCTAGTACGCGTGCGCGCTTGTGACTCCGCCCCTTTGCCTGGAGCTACTTCCTCATGCTGCCCGCTCGCCTGCAGTTCAGGCTGCTGAGCCTTTTCTTTCGTGGATTCGCTCCCACGGCAGCGCGCCATGGCCTCCGGGAGCCGCTCTTGGGGAGGAGGCGCGCTGCCGCCTCCTCCTTCCAGCACTCATCGAGTCTGGGACGCGAGCTTCCTTATGACCCCGTGGACACGGAGGGCTTTGGAGAAGGTGCTGACATGCAGGAGCGTTTTCTGTTCCCGGAGTACATCCCGGAGCCGGAGCTGGAGCCCACCCGCGAAGAGCAGCTGCAGGAGCTCCAGCAACAGCAGGAGGAGGAGGAGCGACAGAGGCAGCAGCGGCGGGAGGAGCGGCGACAGCAAAACCTACGGACCAGGCCCCGGGAGCACCCGGTCGTGGGGCACCCGGACGCGGCAGTGCCGCCCAGCGGCGTGAACTGCTCGGGCTGCGGGGCAGAGCTGCACTGCCAGGATCCCGGCGTGCCCGGCTACCTGCCCTGCGACAAGTTCCTCCGCATGGCGGAGGCAGACGGCGGGCTGGCGCGGACCGTGTGCCAGCGATGCTGGCTGCTGGTGCACCACCGGCGCGCTCTACGCCTGCAGGTGAGCCGCGAGCAGTACCTGGAGCTGGTGAGCGCCGCGTTGCGGCGGCCCGGGCCTTCCCTGGTTCTCTACATGGTGGACCTGCTCGACCTGCCCGACGCCCTGCTGCCCGACTTGCCCGCGCTGGTGGGCCCCAAGCAGCTGATCGTGCTGGGAAACAAAGTGGACCTCCTGCCCCAGGATGCTCCTGGCTACCGGCAGAGGCTGCGGGAGCGACTGTGGGACGACTGTGCCCGGGCCGGGCTCCTGCTGGCCCCTGGCCACCAAGGGCCACAGATCCCCGTCAAGAACGAGCCACAGGACGGGGAGAATTCGAATCCGCCGAACTGGTCCCGCACGGTGGTCAGAGACGTGCGACTGATCAGCGCCAAGACCGGCTATGGAGTGGAAGAGTTGATCTCTGCCCTTCAGCGCTCCTGGCGCTACCGTGGGGACGTCTACTTAGTGGGCGCCACCAACGCCGGCAAATCCACTCTCTTTAACACGCTCCTGGAGTCCGATTACTGCACCGCCAAGGGCTCCGAGGCCATCGACAGAGCCACCATCTCCCCTTGGCCAGGTGAGTTTTAGGAGGCTCTCTCCCTCTTCGTTTTCTGACAAGGTGGACGTCTGGTCCTAGCTGAGGCACCGACTACATCCTCCCTTAATGTCCACTACGGGCTGCCGGTACCCTTCCCTTTACAAATTCTCTCCCCACTCTGGTCATACCTCTCTTCTGTGTCAGCTTACTGCTAGGAAAAATTCAGGATGTGTTGTAGTAATTTTCTAATTACAGTGTTTATGGAGCACTTCTCTGTTCCCAGTCACTAGGCACTGGAGATAGACCAGGGAACAAAACAAAGTTCCTGTTCTGGAGATCTGCTTTGTAACTTCTTTGTATATTGTTTCAGAAAGTGCGCGCCCTTTTTACTGTCTGAACCTAATGAAATTTGTGGGGTTTTTTGTTTGTTTTGTTTTTGAGACAGAGCCTCACTCTGTCGCCTAGGCTGGAGTTCAGTGGCGTGAGATCTCAGCTCACTGCAACCTCCTCCTCCGGAGTTCAAGAGATTCTCCTCCCTCAGCCTCCTGAGTAACGGGGATTACAGGCACACGCCACTATGCCCAGCTAATTTTTGTAATTTTAGTAGAGACGGGGTTTCACCATGTTGGTCAGGCTGGTCTCGAACTCCTGACCTCGTGATCCGCCCGCCTCGGCATCCCACAGTGCTGGGATTACAGGCGTGAGCCGCCGCACTCGGCCTAATTTTTGTATTTTTAGTAGAGATGGGGTTTCACCATGTCGGTCAGGCTGGTCTCGAACTCCTGGCCTCATGTGATCTGCCCACCTTGGCCTCCCAAAGCACCGAGATTACGGGTAAGCACCACCATGCCCAGCTAATTTTTGTATCTTTGGTAAAAACAGGGTTTCACCACGTTGGCCAGGCAGGTCTCCAACTCCTGACCTCAAGTGATCTACCCACCTCATCCTCCCAAAGTGCTGGGATTACAGGTGTGAGCCACCACTCCTGGCTCATTAGTACAATTTGATGTGTGGCTTCGCTGGGCTCAGTGGCTCACATCTGTAATTCTAGCTTTTTTTTTTTTTTTTTTTTTTTGAGACAGTCTCACTCTGTCGCCCAGGTTGGAGTGCAGTGGTGTGATCTCACCTCACCGCAACCCTTGCCTCCTGGGTTCAAGCAATTCTCCTGCCTCAACCTCCCGAGTAGCTGGACTACAGGCACACACCACCACACCCAGCTAATTTTTTGTATTTTTAGTAGAGAGGGGGGTTTCACCATGTTGGCCAGGCTGGTCTGGAACTCCTGACCTCAAGTGATCCACCCGCTTGGGACTCCCGAAGTGCTGGGATTACAGATGTGAGCCACCACGCCCAGCCAGGTTTAAATTTAAGTTTACAAAACTGACTGCCCTATTTGTTCCCTTGAAACCAGAGTTTCATTTAGTAAGCTGCTCTTCTCTGTCTTGCACTTTGAATTTTACACAAATATTACTTTTATACTGAATGGTAATGTGATGAAAATTGAAAGAAATCGGGCCTATAGATTTTGGATTCAAATTCTGGTTTCCCCTGTGAGCTAATCTCTTAACCTATTTCCTCATTTGTAAAGTGTCAGTAATTTTATGTTTTATTACAGTAACCGACACAGTGTAGATCCTCAAAAATGTTCATTTTCTTCCCCCTTATTCCCTTTTCTAAAGATGTATTTATTCTGTGTATTTCAGGTACTACATTAAACCTTCTAAAGTTTCCCATTTGCAACCCAACTCCTTACAGAAGGTTTAAAAGACATCAAAGACTTAAAAAAGATTCAACTCAAGCTGAAGAAGATCTTAGTGAGCAAGAACAAAATCAGCTTAATGTCCTGAAAAAGCATGGTTATGTCGTAGGTAAGCATCCTCTATGGGAAAACCCTGGTTGGTATTATGCTAAAATTCTTTGTTAAGCAACGTGAAATACGGTTGTCCAAGGCTAGCCAGTTTTTGTGGGGAGAGACTGCCTTCCTCGTTCTGCAACAAAGAGGCCTTTTAGCACTCAGGCTACTATTTGGAAACCCAGAGCGGTACAGGTAGTAAAAGTTTTTACTCCATGCAGCAGCTTTGTCTGTCTTTCCTTGGTATATCTTTTCAGGCTTTCTTTAAAACAGTTTGATTTCCACACACACTCACCCCTGCCACTCCATGTACACCGCCAGCCACACACTTGATGATTGCAAGAGTTTGACTCCCATTGCTTTTTGGAAGAAAAAAAAAGTATCATTGTTGCCTCACTTCCCTACACTGTAATCTTAGTAACTTGTTTGAGGGAAACATAAAAATTATGTCTGGAGTCAAAAGTATTAAAGGAGTGACTGATAACCTTACTATAACTTGTTCTAGGAAGGGTTGGAAGGACATTCTTGTATTCAGAAGAACGGAAGGATACAGTTCCCTTTGAGTTTGATGCTGATTCACTTGCCTTTGACATGGAAAATGAACCTGTTATGGGTACGCACAAATCCACCAAACAAGTAGAATTGACTGCACAAGATGTGAAAGATGCCCACTGGTTTTATGACACCCCTGGAATTACAAAAGAAAACTGTGTATGTATTTGGTTTCCTTTAGAAACATTTACTTTCTTTTTCTTTTTTAATGGGTTTATATTGCTTGCTGCTCATATATAGCCAATTTATCAAGACAGGGGAATTGCAATAGAGAAAGAGTGTAATGCATGCAGAGCCAGCTAAATGGGAAACTGGAGTTTTATTACTAGTCATATCAGCCTCTGAAACATTTACTTTCAATTGTACAAGTACCGCTGTCTTAATTGGCAGAAAACAGGAAAAGAAGTATACTTCCATTTTAGACTCAGTTCTGATTCATTCATAAAAGCTGTTTAAGGGTGAATCTGTATGCCCTCAAGTTCTCTGTTCCATTTGATAGACTTCATTGCTGACAACCAACTTATTTCTTATCATTGTGATTGTTACCTTAGTTAGGGAAACATTTACAGAAGCCTAGGTTTTGAGATTGGAAAAAAACATAAATATCACTGAAGTCCACCTCCCTAGTTCCTGCTTGAATTACCCCTATAACATATCCATCAAGGGGTCCTCCATCTTGAACTGACAGGAGTGACTCACCATTAACTGAAACTGTGCCCCGTCACCTTCCAAGGTAACTCATTTGGGTCTTTGACCTTCTCTTTATATTGAGTGTACTGAGCTGAACAGTCTCCCTGTAACATGCACCCATTGTTCCCTAAAGCCATATGGGACTAACGTAATACCTATTTCCCTTGCCAGACTTTGAAATATTTTAAAGTGTAACATCCCATCTCTTCTTCACCTATCCCTCCCTTTTCTTCTCTTTCATTAGTTCATCCAGCAAACATTGAGCATTTACTGTGCTGACAATCTGGATTATTTGTCTTCATTTCCTACAGCTGTGCTCCCTGAGAAACAGGCTATTCATTGACCCAGGCCTCATCAGAATGTTTTCTATGTTTGTTCTTAAAGTTTGACACTGAGAACGCAGTGCTCTCAGGTGAGCATGATTTAGAATAGCATTAACTCCAGCTGGGCACAGTGGCTCACGCCTGTAATCCCAGCACTTTGGGAGGCACAGGCGGGCAGATCACAAGGTCAGGAGATCAAGACCATCCTGGCTAACACGGCGAAACCCCGTCTCTACTAAAAATACAAAAATAGCCAGGCATGGTGGCAGGCGCCTGTAATCCCATCTACTGGGGAGGCTGAGGCAGGAGAATGGCATGAACCCAGGAGGCAGAGCTTGCAGTGAGCTGAGATTGCGCCACTGCACTCCAGTCTGGGTGACATAGCGAGGCTCCTTCTCAAAAAAAAAAAAAAAAAGAATAGCATTAACTCTACCTGTCTTGTTCCTATGCCTCTCTTTAATCCAACTGCTCATGGACAACTTTGGGACTCATAGGTAACTTTGACTTTGTCTTGTTAAATTCAGCCTATATCTTACTCTGTTAAATATTCATTAAATCTCATTACTTTCCCTTGCCTTGCCTTTGCGTTGCAGTTTGGATCTTCATTCAGATCACTGATTGACTCAAATGTGCATCCAGGATACAGCCTCACAAGAGATTCATTAATCACTTCCTTTGAATCTGGTTACTGACCAGTTTCTGATTATTCTAATTATCTCTGTGTCTCCCTACAAAACCACATTGGTTTCTTAGGTACTTTTCTTGGCCTTGTCAGTAACACTTACAGTTACATTCTCAGAATTGTATTCTATTTGGTGTCCCCTGTCACTGAATCATACAGACCTTTTAACTTTTATTGCCCTCCTAGAATAATTGCTAATGCCATCTTTTCTTCCTTAGCAGTCCAAAAGTTCAGAACTGCTTTCTAATAATATTCCATCACTTTAGCTTAATGAACTAATTCTTCCTCCCCACAACTTTTTTTTTTGAGACGGTCTCCCCCAGGCTAGAGTGCAGTGGCGCAATGATCTTGGCTTACTGCAACTTCTGCCTCCTGGGTTCAAGCAATTCTCCTGCCTCAGCCTCCCAAGTAGCTGGTTTTAGAGGCATGTGCCACCACACCCGTCTACTTTTTGTATTTTTACTAGAGATGGTTTCACCAGGCTGGTCTTGAACCCCTCACCTCAGGTAATCCACCCACCTCGGCCTCCCAAAGTGCTAGGATTACAGATGTGAGCCACCACGCCCAGACTAATTCTTCCCTCTCAGATGCTGTTAGATCAGGCATAGCAGTTACTTAAGTCATATACCCTCTATGAAAGAGTTGTGTCAGAAAGGCAAGAATTTGCAAAATATTCTAGACAGCAGAATGAGAACCCCAAATTTTTAGATATAAATGTCTGTCAGCACTGGTAGTTTTCTTCTCTGTTAGTTTACAGATACACTTATTTGCTGTCTTAAACCAGGATTTCCCACACTGAACCAAGTATCTCTGTTGTGAAATGGAAGTATTAAGACTCAGGCTGCGCACCGTGCCTTGCGCCTGTAGTCCCAGCACTTTGGGAGGCGGAGGTGGGAGGATTGCTTGAGCCCAGGAGTTTGAGACCAGCCTGGGCAACATGCCAAAACTGTATCTCTACTAAAAATACAAAAAATTAGCTGGGCATGGTGGTGCATGCCTGTAATCCCAGCTACTCAGGAGGCTGAGGCACAAGAATCACTTGATACACTTATTGGGAGGCAGAGGTTGCAGTGAGCTGAGATCTTGCCACTGCAGCCCAGCCTGGGCAACAGAGGGAAACCCTGTCTCAACAAAAAAAAATAAACAGAGAGACAAGGTTTTCCCTGTTGCCCAGGCTGGAATGCAGTGGCATGATCAAGTAACTACAAAGTCCTGGGCTCAACCAATCCTCCCACTTCAGCCTCTCAATTAGCTAGGGCCACAAGTACACACCACCATGTCCAACTAATTGTTTAGTTTTTGTAGCGACAGGACCTTGCTATGTTGCCCAGTCTGGTCTAGGCTGGAGTGCAGTGGTGGAATCTTGGCCCACTGTAACTTCTGCCTTCCTGGCTTAAGCGATCCTCCACCTCAGCCTCTAGGGTAGCTAGAAACTACAGACACACACAACCCCGGCTAATTTTTGTATTTTTCATAGAGGTGGGGTTTTGCCATGTTACCCAGGCTGGTCTCAAACTCCTGAGCTCAGCTGGGCGTGATGGCGCATACCTCTAATCACAGCACTTCAGGAAACCAAGGCAGGTGGATCACTTGAGGTCAGGAGTTCGAGACCAGCCTGGCCAATGTGACAAAACCCCATCTTTACTAAAAATACCAAAAAAAATTAGCCAAGCATGCTGGCGCATGTCTGTAATCTCAGCTACTTGGGAGACTGAGAAAGGAGAATTGCTTGAACCTGGGAGGCAGAGGTTGCAGTGAGCCAAGATCGTGCCACTGCACTCCAGCCTGGGTGACACAGTGAGACTCCATCTCAAAAAAAAAACTCCTGAGCTCAAGGGATCTGCCTGTTGCTGCCTCTGGAAGTCCTGGGATTACAGGCATGAGCCACTATCGACTGACCTGCAAATGGCTTTTAATGTGCCTTTTTAAACACAAATAATGAAGAAAACTATTTGTAGCTCCCTTATTATTTTCTTGTGATGTATCATTTCTATTTTTTATTTTCTTGTTATTCTTTTTTTTTTTTTATTTGAGACGGAGTCTTGCTCTGTCGCCCAGGCTAGAGGGCAATGGTGCGATCTCGGCTCACCACAACCTCCGCCTCCCGGATTCAAGTGATTCTCCTGCCTCAGCCTCCCGAGTAGCTGGGATTACAGGTGTGCACCACCACGCCCGGCTAATTTTGTATTTTTAGTAGAGACGGGCTTTCTCCATGTTGGTCAGGATGGTCTCTTGAACTCCCGACCTCAGGTGGTCCACCCGCCTCAGCCTCCCAAAGTGCTAGGATTACAGGCGTGAGCCACTGTGCCCAGCCTCTTGTTATTCTTAAAAAGGAAGTTTACAAGTTTTGTGTCCAATTTGTACCACCTTTATTCTTTTTTAACCAGAATTTGATTCCTTAAATCTTTCCAGAATCTTGTACTTCTGTCTTTCCTTTTCTATTTTTCTCTAGTCTCTCTAGGAACTTGTCATCCTTAGAAGGGATTTATGATAAATTATAGGGATAAATTATAAATCCTCTATGTTATAAGCAAAGGAGATTTATAACTTTTTCTCATTCTCTGCTGAATATTTGGGATAAATAAGGAAATTGAAGACCAGAATTTAGAAAGAGGTTATTCAGCCAATTTACTTGCTCCTAGAATGGGTGACCATTTTGCATTTAATGCATGCAACTTACCACTAGGACATGAGGTCACATATACCATTACTTTAAGCTGAAATTGCTCCTCCCCACAAGCCTTGATAAGGAGAACGTATATTTTCTATCTTGGTATTGAATCAACATGTTTTCAGGTTCACATTAATTTTGACATTTAGGGAATGCTGCTGACATAGGAAAGTCTCATACACCTATAAAGTTATTTTGCCATTACTGTAGATTAAGTTGTAAAACAAAGGTAGAGCCATCAGATTGAGATTAATTTTGACAGGAAGAATCTATATAAATTTGATGTGTAGCAAACTGACATAATTTAGTTTATTTTGAAGTCTGGCATATTTTTCTTCACTTTTTATTTTACAGGTAAATCGTAATATATTTTCAATAAAAGTATTTTTCTTAAAAAAATCTGCCATTTGCTTCACAGATTTTAAATCTTCTAACAGAAAAAGAAGTAAATATTGTTTTGCCAACACAGTCCATTGTTCCAAGAACTTTTGTGCTTAAACCAGGAATGGTTCTGTTTTTGGGTGCTATAGGCCGCATAGATTTCCTGCAGGTAAGTAAAGTCTGTACCATTAAAAACTGATTTTAAAATATTGGGATTCACTTTAAGGAAGCAGATATATGAACAAAACTGACAAAATGTTGATAACTAAGCCATGATTGTATAGGGTTTAATTTGTTTTTATGTTTAAAAATTTCTGTAATAAAAACTTGGGGATGGCTGGGCATGGTGGCTCACGCCTGTAATTCCAGCACTGTGGGAGACTGAGGCAGGCTGATCACTTGAGGCCAGGAGATCAAGACCAGCTTGGTCAACGTGGTGAAAACCCATCTCTACTAAAAATACAAAAATCAGCTGGGCGTGGTGGCGCACTTGTAATCCCAGCTACTAGAGAGGCTGAGGCAGGAAGATCACTCGAACCTGGGAGGCGGAGGCTGCAGTGAACTGAAATCGCACCACTGCACTCTAGCCTGGGTGATGGGGTGAGACTCCATCTCAAAAAAAAAAAAAAAAAAAAAAACTTGGAGAAAATAAATGCCCTACTCCCTCATCCCCCCCAAAAAGTGCTAGGTCTTAAAAACTATGTTTTCAATTGAGTACCCCACACAGCTTGGCATTTAAAACAAGATACTATCCCTATTCTGTGGGACAGAGTCAAATCTATGGGATAAAGTCAAACCTTTAGGTACAGGGTTACAGGCATTAAATTAATTCCACACTTTGTTTCCCATGATATGTGTGTTTTTATGCATATCCTTTTTTGTTTGGTATTCATTTATTTAGCATCTAGAGATTTTGGAGTGTCTATGGAATTGTTCTCCCTTTGCTAAAGTGAAGAGAAAAAAGGAAAATGAAACATGGATATGTCCAACAACACAATACACCTTACAGGCCATCACTATAGCACATTTCTTGGGTTTTGTGTTTGCTCATACTTTGTTAGAAATTTTGCTTTACACACTTAGAACCCTTATATATTTCGTTTTGGGAGGTTGTTGGTTTTTTGTTTTGGGGGGAGTTGGTTGTTTTTGTTTGTTTGTTTTTGAAACTCTGTTGCCCAGACTGGAGTGCAGTGATAGTTATGGCTCACTGCAGCCTCAACCTCCTGGGCTCCAGTGATCCTCCCACCCCAGCCCCGCAAGTAGCCGGGACTACAGGCACACATCACCACACCCAGCTAATTTTTGTATTTTTAATAGAGATGGGGTTTTGCCATGTTGCCCAGGCTGGTCTCAAACTTGAGCTCAAGGGATTCACCCACCTCAGTCTTCCAAAGTGCTGGGATTACAGGCATGAGCCACTACACCAGGCTTGCACCCTTATATATTTCATTAGAGCACATAAAATGTTAATATTTTAAACCTAACTTTACAGAGACAATTGAAGCAGATAGTATTTCCTTTTAATTTTTAATAATAGACACATTTTTTCAAAAATAGTATTGAGTCTGTCAAAGAAGTCATAGTTTCACATGAATTGCTGAAATGCACTGCTTCAGTCTTGTGCCCCTGTTCTTAGTATAATTTGATTTACAGCTACTGCCATACCAGTACTTATAAAGGGAGTCTGATTGGGTTTTTGGTTTTTGTTTTTTGGGTTTTTTTTGATAGTTGATTGTACCTTGAATATGCAGGTTTTCCAAGTTTTTCACCAGGTCAAATGACTTCTTCCTTTCTTAAGGGAAATCAGTCAGCTTGGTTTACAGTCGTGGCTTCCAACACCCTCCCTGTGCATATCACCTCCTTGGACAGGGCAGACACTCTGTATCAGAAGCATGCAGGTCATACGTTACTCCAGGTAAGGCAACACACCTTAATGATTGCATGGTTATGGTTAGTATACACTGGAATGGTCCAATAGCTCTGTTAGGAAGGCCTTTGTTGGACAGAACTGTTATACAATATCTTGAGCTAGCTTTCCCTCACCTCATTCTCTTTGAGAATTCTGGCTATAAAGCACATTTGCGCTATATAGACTGATCCTAGAATAGCCACACAGCTGTTGTTTCTCTAGACTACACTGTCCAATTTGGTAGCCATTAGCCACATGTGGGTATCTAAATTTAAATATATTAGTGACAATTAAAATTTGCTCACGTTGGGCCAGGCGTGGTGGCTCACCCCTGTAATCCCAGCACTTTGGGAGGCCAAGATAGATGGATGGCAAGGTCAGGAGTTCAAGACCAGCCTGGCCAAGATGGTGAAACCCCATCTCTACTAAAAATACAAAAATTAGCCAGGTGTGGTGGTGGGTGCGTATAATCCCAGCCACTCAGGAGGCTGAGGCAGGAGAATTGCTTGAACCAGGGCGGCAGAGGTTGCAGTGAGCCAAGATCACGCCACTACACTCCAGCCTGGGTGACAGAGAGAGACTCCATCTCAAAAAAAATTTTTGCTCAAGTTAGCCAGGTATGGTGGCATGCACCTATAGTCCATGTAGTCCCAGCTCCTCGAGAGGTTGAGGCAGGAGCACCACTTGAGCCCAGGAGTATGAGGCTGTGGTGAGCCATGATTATGCCACTGCACTGTAGCCTGGGTGACAGGGTGAAACCCTGTCTGTAAAAAAAAAAAAAGAAAAGAAAAGAAAATTTAAAATATGGCTGCTTAGTGTCACCAGCCACATTTTGAGTGCCCAATAGTGACATTGTTGCAAAAAGTTGTATAAACTGATAGCCTCATCACTAATACACACACATACACACACACACATACACACACACACCATACTTTGGACAGTGAAGCTACAGTTCCCTGAACTCATCATCCTTTTTCCAGTTTTTATCTGTACCTGTGCTGACCGAGAATATCTTTCCACCGAATAACTTTGACTCATTTCTCAAAATATTGCTCATAATTGCTTATTTGTTTTTGTTGTTGTTGTTTGTTTTATATAAAACAAACATAATTGCTTCTTTGCTAATGTTTTCCTTGACTGAACGCATTCATTACTCCTTCCTTCACAACCATAGTACTTATAGATGCCTCACATTACATTTCTGACCTTGTATTTGCTTACATATTATTTACCCCTTTGATCTCCTTGGGGGCAGAAACCATACTGCAAAATCTATCTTTGTGTCCTTAGTGCTAAACACAGGAGAGATTTGCTAATGAATAGATGAATAAATTATCAGTTACGGCCAGGCACAGTGGCCCACTCCTGTAATCCCAGCACTTTGGGAGGCCGAGGCGGGCAGATCACCTGAGGTCAGGAGTTCAAGACCAGCCTGGCTAACATGGTGAAACCCTGTTTCTACTAAAAATACAAAAAATTAGCCTGGCATGGTGGCGCACACCTGTAATCCCAGTTACTCGGGAGGCTGAGGCAAGAGAATCACTTGAGCCCTGGAGGCGGAGGTTGCAGTGAGCTGATACCGTGCCATTGCACTCCAACTTGGGCAGCAAGAGCAAAACTCCGTCTCAAAAAAAAAAAAAAAAACTCAATTACTTCTCATCATGGAAACACCTGTAAACATAAAACTAAATCTTATCCATTATATATGGACCCTTAACTCATAAAGACCAGGCATTAATCTTGATGGCCACACTTGTAAGAACTGAGGTACTTGGAAGGACCGTGCCTTAATTGCCCAACATTAATCTATGTGAAGCCCTGTAGAAGATTCTAAAAACAGTGTCAGTGAAGCACAATTCTCCTGTCCAGAGGCTGTTACCAGGTGCTTGCCCAATGTGTGGCCCAGGGCCCTGAGATTTGTAGGCTTCATCCCATCACAGAGTTCCCTTCCTTTTCATTTGACCCCAGAAGTGATTGTACGTTCTTTTCAACAGTTGAATATTTGAAAGGATTTTATTATTGATCCCTGTACAGAATTATCTTATCAGTGATTTACTTAATGTTAGAGTTCCAAGAAATTTAATTTGAACTTGTAAATATCTTTATTTCATTGGAAGGTTCCAATGGGTGGAAAAGAACGAATGGCAGGATTTCCTCCTCTTGTTGCTGAAGATATTATGTTAAAAGGAGGACGGGGGGGATCTGAAGCAGTGGCAGACATCAAGTTTTCCTCTGCAGGTAATTTTATGCCAAGCACTTTTTAAAAAGTGAATAAAAGGACGAGTGCAGTGGCTCACACGTGTAATCCCAGCACGTGGGAGGCCAAGGCAGGCGGATCACCTGAGGTCGGGAGTTTGAGACCAGACTGACCAACATGGAGAAACTCAGTCTCCACTAAAAATACAAAATTAGCCGGGCGTGGTGGCGCATGCTTGTAATCCCAGCTACTCGGGAGACTGAGGCAGGAGAATCGCTTGAACCTGGCAGGTGGAGGTTGCGTTGAGCCGAGATCACGCCATCGCACTCCAGCCTGGACAACAAGAGCCAAACTCCATCTCAAAAAAAAAAACAAAAAGTGAATAAAGCAGCCTTACTGACAATTTTTTTAATAGAAAAGTGCCTTAACTGATGAGAGCTGATTATTTTAAGGTATACATACTAGTTTATTCATAAAATACAGCCTATTCTAAAAATAAGTTTGTACTTTTCATAAAAACGCATTGTATGCTAAAAATAAGGTGTGCCTACCTGTTCCCCTGGCTTCTCAGGAGGCTGAGGCAGGAGGATCAATTGAGCCCAGGAACTTGAGTTCAGCCTGGGTAACATAGCAAGATAGTTTCTTTAAAAATAATAAAATAATAAGAGAGTGAAAGAGAGTGACAGCCTTCTCTGATATTCCATTTTCAGCTTTGGTTTGGTATTTTTAATAAGATGACTGCTAACAGCCTTTTGTGTTGTGTCACGTGCCTGCATAGGTTGGGTTTCAGTAACACCTAATGTTAAGGACAGACTGCATCTCCGAGGCTATACACCTGAAGGAACAGTTTTGACCGTCCGGCCCCCTCTCTTGCCATATATTGTTAACATCAAAGGAGAGCGCATCAAGAAAAGTGTGGCCTATAAAACCAAGAAGCCCGTTTCCCTTGTATTCAACGTGCGGAAGAAGAAAGGACAGATAGATGTATGAGACCGACCTTGTTCACTCCAGATATTAACTGTATTGAACACAAGAATATACACTGAAATTGTATTAAACATATTAAACATAAATAAAGCTCCCACTCTCACCCTTTTTTTTCTCATTTTTTTTCTTTTTTGAAACTGAGTCTCGCTCTGTTTCCCAGGCTGGAGTGCAGTGGCACGATCTCAGCTCACTGCAACCTCTGCCTCCCAGGTTCAAGCAGTCCTCCTGCCTCAGCCCCCCTAGTAGCTGGGATTACAGGCATGCACCACCATGCCCAGCTAAGTTTTGTATTTTTAGTAGAGATGGGGTTTCACTATGTTGGCCAGGCTGGTCTTAAACTCCTGACGTCAGGTGATCCACCCGCCTCAGCCTCCCAAAGTGCTGGGAATACAGGCGTGAGCCACTGCGGCCAGCCTCACCCTTTTCAAAGCTCTTAATAGTTAACTCTTTTTTTTTTTTTTTTTTTTTTTTAGTAGAGATGGGGTTTCACTGTGTTAGCCAGGATGGTCTCAGTCTGACCTCATGATCCGCCCATCTCGGCCTCCCAAAGTGCTGGGATTACAGGTGTGAGCCACCGCGCCCGGCCAGTTAACTTTTTTAAACTGTTCAAGATTGTGCCTGTTCATAATGTATTCAGCTTATAAAAACAAGTTTATTTTTTTGTACAGTATGTATACGGTATGTATCTGTGACCCACATATATATAAAATTGGAGGCCTGCTACATTCAAGTTTCTCCCACTACTGTTGTTTCTTTTTTTTTGAGACAGGGTCTTGCTCTGTCACCCAGCCTGAAGTACAGTGGTGCAGTCTCGGCTCACTGCAACCTCCACCTCCTGGATTCAAGCGACTCTCATGCCTCAGCTTCTTGAGTAGCTGGGATAACAGGTATGTGTCACCACCCCTGGCTAATTTTTGTATTAGTAGAGACAAGGTCTCACCAGGTTGTCCAGGCTGGTCTTTAACTCCTGGCCTCAAGTGATCCACCCACCGGCCTCCCAAAGTGCTGAGATTACAGGCATGAGCCACCATGCCCCACCTCATTACTGTTTTTTATGTTGAGACCAGATGTCATTTCTCTTATTTGGAGTTAGCAGCCAGCATATGAAAAAAATGGCAGGAAAATTAATTTCTCCAAAATACGTTGGCTTAAATAAGATAAAAGTGAGTAGGTGGCTCTGCTCCAAGGATCCGGCTGGTGGAACATTCCATGGCCATCTGTAGGTCTAAGGTGGCTGCCCAAGTTGTCATCCTTTCCCAGTAAGGGTGAAAAGGGAGAAAGCATGGAGAGCAAGCAGCTTCCCTATTTAAAAGAAGGGAGGAAAAGCTGGATGTTGCACACATCAGTTTACACAGTCCATAGGTCAAGTCACGTGGCCATACCCACCCATAAGGAAGCTGGGAAATGGAGGAGGAAATGGGAACCATTTGGGGTTTTTATTAAGGAAAAATGGGGAGAATGGATTCTAGAGAACAAGTAGAAATTTACCTTACACAATTTGACAATGTCGGAAAATCTTAGATAAAAAAGGATTCAAGGCCGGATGTAGTTGCTCACACCTGTAATCCCAGCACTTTGGGAAGCCAAGGCAGGAGAATTGTTTGAGGCCAGGAGTTCAAGATCAGCCTGGGCAACATAGTGAGACCCCCATCTTTATTATTATTATTATTATTTTTAATAAAAATGAATTGTAGGCCAGGCACAGTGGCTCACGCCTGTAATCCCAGCACTCGTGGGAGGCCAAGGCAAGTGGATCACCTTAGGTCAGGAGTCAGAGAGTAGCCTGGACAACATGGTAAAACCTCATCTCTACTAAAAACACAAAAATTAGCTGGGTGTGGTGGTGGGTGCCTGTAATCCCAGCTACTCGGGAGGCTGAGGCAGGAGAATTGCATGAACCCAGGAGGTGGAAGTTGCAGTGAGCTGAGATCACACCACTGCACTCCAGCCTGGGCAACAAGAGCAAAACTTCATCCCAAAAAACTAAACAAGATTTTTAAAAAGCTATGTCTTTCTAGCAACTGAGGTCTATTCTGCAACTGAGAGGACACTTTAACCATTTTATTTACATTTTGTCTTTATATGACTGAATAATATTACATCAGTCAAAAGTCTTTATTGGCCAGGCACAGTGGCTCATGCCTGTAATCCCAACATTTTGGGATGCCAAGGTGAGAAGATTGCTTGAGCTCACGAGTTCAAGACCAGCCTGGGCAATACAGCAAGACCTCATCTCTACTAAAACCCAAAAAAATTAGCCAGTCATGGTGCTATGTGCCTGTAGTCTCAGCTACTGGGGAGGCTGAGTCAGGAGGATCACTTGAGCCTGGGAGATGGAGGCTACAGTGAGCTATGATCACATTACTGCACTCCAGCCTGGGCAATAGAGTGAGACCTTGTCTAAAAACAGGAAAAAAGAGAAAGTCTACACCTTTTGTTATTCCTAGCTGAGTAAGTAGTACTACAACTGTGTCACGAACAACTGCCAAGTGAAGTCCCAGATCCTAATGTTGAAATAAGTGCTGGTAAGATAAGCTAGGCTGAAACGCAGTTAGAGCCATGAAATTCCTGAGAGGGCCATGTTCTCTGCCAACATATGGGAGTCCCCATGTATTTCACACTCTCCTGCCTTCTCCCCACTCTTCAGCCCTCTTCTAAGTCCTCTTAAACTAAATATAATGGAGAATTTTTTTAAGATGCAACTTGTAATGTTGTAGACCTTTTATAGTGTTTCAAAGTAAGTACTATTGGTATCTTGGGCAAGGTGGTTCTTTATGTATAAAACTGCATTTCAGCCGAGTGTGGTGGCTCACGCCTGTAATCCCTGCACTTTGGAAGGCTGAGGCGGGTGGATCACGAGATGAGGAGATTTGAGACCATCCTGGCTAACATGGTGAAACCCCATCTCGACTAAAAATACAAAAATTAGCTGACTGCGGTGGCGTTTACCTGTAGTCCCAGCTATTCGGGAAGCTGAGGCACGAGAATCGCTTAAACCTGGGAGTCAGGTTGCAGTGAGCCGAGATGGCACCATCGCACTCCAGCCTGGCGACAGAGAGAGACTCCGCCTCAAAAAAAAATCAGCCAGACATGGTGGCAGGCACCTGTAATCCCAGCTACTCCAGAGACTGGGGCAGGAAAATCGCTTGAACCTGGGAGGCGGAAGCTGCAGTGAGGCAAGATCTCACACTGCACTCCAGCCTGGGCAACAGAGCAAGATTCCGTCTCAAAAAGAAAAAAAAAGAAAGGAAAAGAAAGAGGGAGGGAGGGAGGGAAGGAAAAGAAAAAAGACAGGAAAAGAAAAGAAAAAAGAAAAACTGCATTTCTGTATGTCTGGTATCTCTCATCTCAGACACTGAATGCAGTAGCAACTCCCTCTGCCATCAGTCCTGGTGACAACTGGAAAGAGCCACCAACATCATATTACCTCTAGAGGGCGACAGCTTCCCAAATGGAGAAAATTGATTGGCAGTTGATTTCTAGTTTTTATTTTGGAGGGAATGAAATACCATTTATTTGTAAGTTAAAATTGTGGCTGGCCACGGTGGCTCACACCTGTAATCTCAACACTTTGGGAGGCCAAGGCGGGTGGATCACCCGAGGTCGGGAGTTCGAGACCAGCCTGACCAACATGGTGAAACCACATGTCTACTAAAAAAATACAAAATTAGCCAGGTGTGGTGGCACATGCCTGTGATCCCAGCTACTCGGGAGGCTGAGGCAGGAGAATGGCATGAACCCGGGAGGCAGAGGTTGCAGTGAGCTGAGATCGTGCCATTGCACTCCAGCCTGGGCAACAAGAGCGAAACTCCATCTCAAAAAAAAAAAAAAATTGTGGTCATTATATTTCTACCTACAGTTGAAAACAGGAGTTCACAGTTCAGAACTTAGGCTAGGATATTTAGGTACAATTAAAATGAAAAACAGGCAGGAAAAAAGTCAGCAAAGGGTGAACTGGGCCTTTGTGGAGAAACAATCTAAAAACTGACTACTAATCCCCTGACAACTTAGGAAAATGTACTTCAGAAAACAGGGCCAGGCACAGGGCTCACACCCATAATCCAAACACTTTGGGAGGCCAAGGCGGGAGGATCCCTTGAAGCCAGGCATTCAAGACCAGCCCTGGCAACATAGTTAAGACCCTGTCTCTACAAAAAAAAAAAAAAAAAAAATTTAGTTGCGCATGGTGACACATACCTGTAGTCTCAGCTATTCACGGGGCTGAGGTGGGAAGATCCCCGATTGAGCCTGGGAGGTTGAGGCTGCAGTAAGCCATGATTGCACCACTGCACTCCAGCCTGGGCGACACAGCAAGACTCCATCTCAAAGAAAAAAAAGCAGGAAAGAAAGCCAGCAAACGGTGAGAAAGATGCTCTATGCCTAGAATTAGTTGAGGACTTCTGCTGGGATCTGGTATTAATTTGTTCCATATTATACCTCCAGTCCAGTGCAGCCTAGGATCACTGCTAGGCTCAAGTACGTCCTAGTAGATTTTGCTTTAAGAAAGTTCCATTACTATATTAGTCTCTGAGGACACAGTAGTGCATTGCTTAGCAATAGGGATGTATTCTAAGAAATGCATCATTAGGCGATTTCGTCTTTGTGCAAACATCATAAAGTGTATTTACACAAACCTAGATGGTATAGCCTACTCCACACCTAGGCTGTATGGTATAGCCTGTGGCTACTAGTACAACATGTTGCTGTACTGAATTCTGTAGGCAACTGTAACACAAATCATTAGGCAATAGGTATTTTCCGACTCCATTATAATTTTACCAGACTACAGCTGTATATGTGGCCCATTGCTGACCAAGAAGTCATTATGCGATACATGACTGTACTTCTTTATCCATTAATCTGAGTATAAAGACATCTCTTGAATCAGCAGTCGCTTACACTATGACAGGGTACAAGAATTAGTAGGCTCTTCTGGCCAGGAATGGGAGGAGAAATTAATGGCCAAGTACCAACTCCTGACTTCCGCAGATCAAAGAGGTGGTTAGGGGTTGCTAGAAAACAATGAAGCAAGTTTATTCTAGATTGTTTACCTGGCTCTGCAGCCTTGTGGTGTTGAGCATGTCACCTCTTTTGTATTCATGACACCCAAAAGAAGTAAAATAAATTCCATCAAAGTACTTTTTGACTTTTATGTAATATTAGGTTCAAAGTTTTATTTTAAAAAGTTACACGTAATCTCTCTGCTTTTACCCCCTCTAATTAAACTAAAATAACAGCATCTTCTTCAAAGTTACTGAGACAAAATGAAGTTGTAATATGTTTGTATCTTTAATCACCATAAATGCCAAGCTGTGCCGATCACTAAGTCTTTACTGTATAGTTCCCCAGAGTCTAGTTTATTTAACTTGAGACACTCACTTCCCATAACAACCAAGGAGAAGTGGAGTAGAGACACAGTCTTGTATGCCTGTGTCTCTAGTGTTCAGACCCCTTGCACAATGGACATAGGCTGGTTTCCTGCAGCTGACTGACGTGGAGAAGCTCCAGCTGTGTCAGCCACGACAGAGTTGTTATTGCTTCACTGAGTAAGCACCCAGCGCGCAAGCTGAGGCGGGCTGTTTCGTAGACGGGCTCGGATCATTTACCCTGGCTTCCCTCCCACTTGGCTCTGTGTCGTGGAGCATTAGAATCATTTCCATTCTTTCTCAGCTGTTCCATTTTCTCTTGGCCGCTTTCCTCCTCCCGGGGGATTGTTTTCTCTCAACTGTTAAAGAGTAATGCTTAAACATTAAAAACAAGATTTCAGACCCATGTGAATCAAATAGATGACACCTCTGCCTGCTCTGAATGTCCCTCTGTCATATTATCTGCCCCCATGAAGACCTTGTAGTGAGAGGACAATGGTTCAAGATTGCTTTTCTTTTTTTTTTTTTGTTTGAGAGGGTCTCACTCTGTCACCCAGGCTGGAGTGTAGTGGTATAATCACAGCTCAATGCAGCCTCGACCTCCTGGGCTCAAGCAATGCTCCCACCTCAGTCACCCGAGTAGCTGGAACCATAGGCAAGTGCCACCACACCCAGCTAATTTTTTAATTTTTGTAGAGACAGGGTCTCACTTTGTTGCCCAGGCTGGTCTCAAACTCCTAGTTTCACCAGTCCTCCCACCTCAGCCTCCCAAAGTGCTGGGATTACAAGTGTGAGCCACCACACCAGGCCAAGATTACTATTTTAACATCATATTGCAATGATGCCTCACCTTTTCCCTTCATGTCATGGAGTTTCAGGATCTGAATACTCCTAAGTGTATCTGGATCATCCTCAAAACACCCACTGCTTGGATTCCCAGGTTCCTGTTTTCAAAAGCTTCTTTTTGCTTCGCAAATAATTCTCAGAATTTACCTCCTGTGTAATCAATCTAGTGGGAGAATTCATTTGGTCTTAATACTCTCATTGGTAGATGCTGTAATAGGTATGATGCTTAATCACAGACACCGTCAGTACCTCTACCCGGCAGCTGTGGTAAATCGGAAAAAACTGAGGTCACACATACACAAAAAAAAGCAGACGCATTAGAGAATACATCATCACGTGTCAGGTGATATTGGAAGTGAAATATATGGAAGTGAAAGACTGCCAAGATCCTTTCTAACCTTTCAATAAGCCCTAGAAAATAGCAGGCATAGCTGGGGACGGTGGCTCACCCCTGCAATTCCAGCACTTTGGGCAGGTGGATCATGAGATCAAGAGTTTGAGACCAGCCTGGCCAACATAATGAAACCCCGTCTCAACCAAAAATACAAAGGTGGCACATGCCTGTAATCCTAGCTACTTGGGAGGCTGAGGCAGGAGAATCGCTTGAACCTGGGAGGCGGAGGTTGCAGCAAGCCAAGATCATGCCACTGCACACCAACCCCAGGCAACAGTGTGAGACTCTGTCTTAAAAAAAAAAAAAAAAAAAAAAAAAAAGAACAAAAGAAAAGAAAATAGCAGACATTCAACGCATGAATCAATAGAGTGAAAGGATTTTTTTGTTTGGTTGATTTTTGCCTTCCCTGGAAAACAGGGAAAGAGCAAACTTAAATTTGCTTAGTAGCATTTACACTAACCTCTTACAGAGTTTCTTCTTTTCCTGCATAAAGCCAGTACCTCATGGTAGTTGTATTTCAGACTTCAGATTACTCATAGTTACTATAATCATATGATAGCCCATATATCTTTTTACTCCTTTATACTCATATAATAATAATAATAGTAGCTATCGCTTATATAGTACATAAAATGAGCCAGGCACTCTTTCAAGTGCTTTACATATATTAACTGAATCCTTACAGCAACCCCATGCAGAAGATACTATTATTACCCACATTTACAGATGAGGAAACTGAGGCACAAATAACTTACCCAGGATCTAAATAATAAGTGATGAAGCTGTGATTCAAACAAACCCAGGCACTCTATCTCTAGAACTCATGTGGGGCTTTGTTGTTTTGTTTTATTGGAAAAAGTTTCTCACTGTGTCACCCAGGCTGGAGTGCAGTGACACAGTCGCAGCTCACTGTGGCCGCCACCTCCCAGGCTCAAGCGATCCTCCCATGTCAGCCTCCCGAGTAACTGAGACTACAGGCACACGCCACCACACTCAACTAATTTTTTAATTTTTTTGTAGAAACAAGGTCTCACTATATTTCCTAGGCTGGTCTCAAACCCCTGTCCTCAAGCAATCTTCCTGCGTCAGTCTCCCAAAGTGCTAGGATTGCAGGTGTGGGCCACCATACGCCCAGCCTGGGGTTTTTTATTATAAACAGACTTTGTTTTCATGTACAGTTCTATGGATTTTATCACACATATATGTTTGTTTAATGACCACCATAATCACAATATAGAACAGTTCTGGCCAGGCACGGTGGCCTGAAATCCCAGCACTTTGGGAGGCCGAGGCAGGTAGATCACTAGGTCAGGAGTTCAAGACCAGCCTGGCCAAGATGGTGAAACCACATCTCTACTAAATATACAAAAATTAACCAGGCATAGTGGCGGGGGCCTGTAATCCCAGCTACTCGTGGGGCTGAGGCAGGGAGAATCCCTTGAACCCAGGAGATGGAGGTTGCAGTGAGCTGAGATCACCACACTGCACTCCAGCGTGGGCAACAGAGTGAGACTCTGTCTCAAAAAAAAGAAAGAAAAAGAAAAATTGAGCCGGGCACAGTGGCTCACGCCTGTAATCCCAGCACTTTGGGAGGCAAAGGCAGGTGGATCACAAGGTCAGCAGTTTGAGACCAGCCTGACCAACATGGTGAAACCCCATCTCTACTAAAAATACAAAAAAATTAGCTGGGCAGGGTGGGCGCCTGTAATCCCAGCGACTTGGAGGCTGAGGCAGGAGAATTGCTTGAAACTGGAAGGCAGAGGTTGCAGTGAGCCGAGATTGTGCCACTGCACTCTAGTCTGGGCAATAAGAGCAAAACTCCATCTCAAAAAAAAAAAAAAAAAAAAAACACAGTTCCATCAGTATCCATGTCTTCATGTCTTCAACAATAACAATAATTCCTCTATATACTAAAACCCATCAGTAAATCTAAAGGTGAGAATTTTTCAACCTTAGGAAGGAAACCTACTTTGAAGACCTTCATAGATAATAGCACAGTTCTCTTGGGAATTCTGGACAACTACCACTTAATCTCCTTCTGGCTTCCCTTGAATTCTACCATATACAATTTCTCCCTGAGCATCTGTCTCAGAGCGGGGGGTGTGTGTGTGTGTGTGTGTGTGTGTGTAATGTGCTGTGCCCCTGCTGTCTTACTTCAGCACTGCTGCCCAAACCAAAACAGGTATGCCAGTGTGATTTCCATGCTCTCTCACCACCTCGGATGCCTTTAAATGGACTGTGCTTCGCTGGCTGGCTGGGAATCTTTCACATTGCTGGTGAGCTTGCCAAGTACCACGGACAGATCACAGCATGCATGGAGATCCTTACCCACAATTCTGATTAAGAAAATAGTAAATCAGATATACAGGAAATTTGGAAAGCAAACATCCAAAAATTACACTAAACTATCATAGAAAAGAGACTAATTTTTCATCCTAGTCCTGCTTATGAGATTAGAACCGGTGATCCCTGTTTATTTGCAAAACAAAAAGCCTCAAAAACCAATTTGTTAATTTGACCCTGAACTTGTTTAAGTGCCCCCTGCTTTTCCTACTTGTGTAGCACTCAATCCGGTTGCCTGTTTCTTGCTACATCTTACTGACTTTCCCTAAACAGGAGTTACTGGGTTGTCCAATTAAAAGCTTTCTATTATTGCAAGTTTTTCTCAGCATTTAGCATTTGACCTAAATAGATTTATGTTTTTTTTCTCTGTCTTTGACTTTAAATTCTATGGTGAGGCGGGGCACAGTGGCTCACACCTATAATCCCAGCACTTTGGGAGGCTGAGGCAGACAGATCACCTGACGTTGGGAGTTCGAGACCAGCCTTACCAACATGGTAAAACCCCATCTCTACTAAAAATACAAAATTCGTCGGGCATAGTGGCGGGCGCCTGTAATCCCAGCTTACTCAGGAGGCTGAGGCAGGATAATCGCTTGAACCCAGGAGGCAGAGGTTGCAGTGAGCCGAGATCGTGCCACTGCACTCCAGCCTGGGCAACAGGAGCAAATCTCTGTCGTAAAAAAAACAAAACAAAAAAAGGACTATGATGAAATACTCAACAGGAAGGCAAATGGGGCTGCTTTCCTTTAAAATACCAGATAAAAGATGTATTTTACTGAAACACTAGCTTTTTCATTAGATAAATAAATCTTTATGTAAAGCTAATTCTGAGAAATGTATTAAAATTTTTCAGCATGGGAACTTGGACAAGAGACTGTTCAACAAAGGAGAACAATGTGTAACTGTCCCATGTACCCACTAACTCCCCCGTTGGGCATGGAGTAAGTCACTTCTAGGTACAGTTGCTCACTTGTTCATTGAAAATGCTTCTTTTTTATTAACTAGGTTTGAGGACATGATTAGGTTGGTATCCACATCTATTGCTGAATAACAAACCACCCTGAAACTTGGTGACTTGAACCAAGCGATTATTTGCTCCCATTCTTTAGTTTGGCAACTTAATCTAGGCTCTGCTCAATGGTACTTCTGCTCTGTGGCGACATGCATTTGCACACAGCACACAGCCAGGCTGACCTCACGCACAGGAGTTTCAGCTGAGATGGTTGTAACAGCTGAGCAAGTGAGACATTTTCCATTGATCACTCTGTCTTCCAAGGGTCTCATCCTCAAGTAGGCTAGTTCAAGCTTGTTCACAAGGTGACAGCGTTCACAAAACGCCTGCGAGTAGAGCCTGCAAAGCCTCTGGAGGCCGAAGCTCAAAGTCACACAGTGCCACTTCTGTTGCATTTATTGGTCAAAGCAAGTCACAATGGCAGCACAGATTCAAACATGTACTGGAATTTGTGGCCATTTTAATCCATCATTAGCTTTTGGTGTTGATCACCCTGAAGAAAATACAAATATAATGTGCTATCTAATTGACCTATAGAAAGTGAATCCAGGCTGGGCGCGGTGGCTCATGCCTTTAATCCCAGCACTTTGGGAGGCCAAGGTGGGCGGATCACGAGGTCAGGAGTTCGAGACCAGCCTGGCCAATATGGTGAAACCCGTCTCTACTAAAAATACAAAAATTAGCTGGGTGTGGTGTCACATGCCTGTAGTCCCAGCTACTCAGGAGGCTGAGGCAGAAGAATCGCTTGAACCTGGGAGGTGGAGGTTGTAGTGAGCCGGGATCGCACCACTGCACCACAGCCTGGGCAACAGAGTGAGACTCCATCTCAAAAAAAAAAAAAAAGTGAATCCAATATAAATCTATCAAATAAGAAATACTGAGGCCAGTGCATGGTGGCTCACACCTGTAATCCTAGCACTTCGGGAGGCAGAGGCAGGTGGATCACCTAAAGTCAGGAGTTCGAGACCAGCCTGACCAACATGGTGAAACCCCATCTCCACTAAAAATATAAACATTAGCTGGGCATGGTAGTGCATGCCTGTAATCCCAGCCACTCAGGAGGATGAGGCAGGACAATCGCTTGAACCCCAGAGGTGGAGGTTGCAGTGAGGTAAGATTATGCTATTGCACTCCAGCCTGGGCAACAAGACTGAAACTCCGTCTTAAAAAAAAAAAAAAAGAAAAGAAAAAAAAGAAATATTATCCTAATTTAAATTTACCTCAGAAGTCTGATACATAAAGCTGCTATATGACTGAGGAAAGAAGAGGGGAGAGATTTTGGGCTTTTGATTTCATCATAAATCCTTTAGAAATATTTTGCTTTTACTTATGTGTACATATTACTTTGGTAAATTTCAATGAAAAAAAAAAATCCATGCAGACTCAATTCTAGGCTGTCTCTCCCTCTAGCTCCAGTACTTATACTAGAAGAAAGCTATCCTAGGAAGTCCTCTACCTGGAAGTCTCTGTAATGGGGAAGGTAATGAGAACACAGAAATGAAGGGCCTTCATGTCTCAAAATAGTATCCTACTGCTCTCCAAGAAAGAAAAATGGACAAGGGTTTGAGGCAGAGTCCAAGCTGAGGGTCCTGAGGCCATACAAACTCCTTTCTTTTTTTTTTTTTTTTTTTTTTTTTTTTTGAGACGGAGTCTCACGCTCTTGCCCAGGCTGGAGTGCAGTGGCGCGATCTCGGCTCACTGGAAGCTCCGCCTCCCGGGTTCCCGCCATTCTCCTGCCTCAGCCTCCTGAGTAGCTG